CAGGTCACATGGCACCGGCAACGGGGGCCAGTACTCAGATCTGTCATCGGCCGTGTCCGAAGTACACGGCCGGTGACAGATCGCGCCGCTGCGCGGCTCTGCAAAACCGCGCGAACTGCGCATGTGCGGGAGGACGCCAAATGGCGTGTACCCGGAAAGCTACCGCATTTTTGCGGCCTCCAAACGGCTATAGGCTGGGCGGCTAATAAGTAAATGCCGGCCGTAGACAGGAAGAAAATCGGCCGTTTTTTTTTTTTTTTTTATTATTTTTAACTGTTGGTGGTAACGTCGGCCTATTGAAAGACCGATTTTTTTTTTTTCGTTTTTTTTTTGTTAAAAAAAACGGCTGGTTTTCTCCCCGTCTATGGCCTGCATTAGTATGATATTTAAGGCATGCTAGTTGTTTCTTTTAATTTTATGGATTTATGTCACCATTGGCCTTGCACTTTTCTATACTGACTGTGCACAACCATGCGGGACAGGATGTTGAATGTTTTTAGATCCTGTCTATGCCAGCCCTGCCTGACTCCCGTCATCTGCACCGGAAGCGAGTAGAAATCTCTCTCATGGAAACATAAACCACAATAAACATAAGCAACTGGCAGGTGTTCTAAACCATTCAAAGTTTTACTTTCTATACTTAAAACCATCCAGTAGACACAAAATGAGGCGGAATCTTCCAAATAGAGACACAAACATGGATAAAGACAAGAGGTACTTAACCTTTACTTAAAACGCAAAATCAATCAACATGGACTGGCTGTAAAGGAGCTTTAAATGATGTTTTAATTTTTTGTCCCTCTTGCTATTATTTTTATTGGTTGCCCATTTTCGCTGTACCTTTTTAAAACTGCCTTCCAATTTCCAGGCTTTATTGTTCATTAGGAGCCACAGAAATTCAGATCCTATCGATGCTATTCTGCTGCCTACAGGAGTATTGTACATTGGAAAACAGATTATTTGTGATCCAGTCCCCAGTTTAATGCCTCATCCACCCAGCATGCCTCAGTTTTCTGTTAGTGTCCTAGGAGTCTGGACAAAAGGCTAACCATTTTTTTGTTCCTAGCCTTTTTTCTTTATAGGTACACAGGAATACAAATATTTTTGGACATATTGGTTATGCCACCACTTTGAGAATGTGGATAATGGCAAAATAAAAAAAAATAATATTCCAGCCCTTTATAACCCAGATTAAAAGGTCCGCCGGGCCGTAGTTTGCCCATTGCTGGTCTAGGGGGTTGATTTATATAGAATTTTGCAGGTTTTATTTTTACTGATTTTCATCTCTATCAACATTCTCAGTACTCCCCTGATGTTTTTTCCCTTTAGTCAGGGGGCTTATTATGCTTCCTGAGCCAACCACAGAGCACACCCCATGTCCAGAGACCTGGTACAGCCTCTGGTGTGATCCTAACAAAAAACAAAATTAAAAAAACTCTCTCTATAAATTAATTCGTAATGGCAAACTCCACCTTTACAACCCTATTCAGTAAAATCCTATCTTTGTCTATTAAGAAACGTCTTTCATTTCTCCTGTTGTCCACCCACATAGTCCTGACACTCAGTCTGCTAAATCTTCAAACAAGTCTTCCTCTGCATAATGGTGCATCCCAGAGTGTTAACCTTTGACACTTGAACAGTTTCCATCTCGGATTCTTGGGTGCAAGAGGTGGTAGCTCAGGGCTGCAAACCGAGGTTTTTGCCCCTTCTTTGCTATGAGCCCCTGTATTACCAGTTTGTGGCCCCTTTTTTTAGCTTTTCATCTGCACCTCAGGTATTCTCCAAGGTACTGACTTCAGTACTAGCCCCACTGCGATCCTGTGGCATCCTCAGTGTGTGGGTTACTTGGACATTTGGTGTGGGCTTCTTTGGACAATGTAGCGTTGACTGTCTAGAAGTTACAATAATTTGACTGGATCCTGAACCTTCAGAAATCGTCACTGGAAATTATTCATCCATTGGAGTATCTGGGTCTAGTCCTGGACAATGTCTAGGCCAGAGTGTTCCTTCCACAGAAAAAACTCAGAATCGACTGTTACGAATGCGGCGTCAGACCCCTGACCTTCTCACCAAACTCGTGACTGAAGGACTGGCCAATCTAAAACCGCGATGTCACGTTCGTAACAATGCCAAGCCCAGCTGCACCCTGCACAACGATTTTCCAGCTAATTGGACCACAATCGATTTACCGGCAGCCTGGGAGCGATTGTTACTGGGTCAAGTTAATTCCGCAATTAACCCTTCACACTGCCACCACCTCCTTTTTGTACAGAGAAAGCGTAAAACTTGGCGATATCCGCAATAACACTATAATGGTTGAGATAATTGTCCACATAACACGGTCACCACAGGCCAGTTATACAGAGGGTTAAACAAACACAGTAGCGCTCTTTCTGAGGCAGGAATTTGTAAATTGCAGTAAAGAGCTATAGAAACAGTTCAACACTTTCAGAAGGAAAGATTTATTACTAACAGGTCAAAAGGGTGCAATAAAAATATTTACAGGAAAAAGATGTAACCTATATATATATATATATATATATATATATATATATATATATATATATATATATATATATATATATATAAATATATATATATATATATATTATATATATAAATATAATATATATATATAAATATATATATATATATATATATATATATATATATATAAATATACAGAGAGCAACAGCACAGCAAAGAGATAACAGAGAGAAGTTAGAGGGTTAAAGTACTTGCCAAAGTCCTGTGTTAGCAGATCAAGTTTCAGAGCGAAAGGGCGGTCTCCCAAGTTGGCTCTGATGTTAAACGGGAGAATTCTTCAACTTAACTTTCTTAGGCCTGACAAACCCATTTTGTAGTTCCTCAGCAGGGAGTGTCTCTGAAGTCAAGGACCAATACCCCGTTTTAGGGAGGGATCGTCTGGGCGTAGGCCTAAACTAGAGCCAAAATCTCTTATAGTTCATATTTTGGCTCATACCTTTCCATATGCACAAGTGACATTCCACCCGTGGGTAGATTATTATTCAGACACATCTGAGGAATGATTAGATATGAAATTACACTGGTTCAAGAGATCTACTTTTCTGCTTTCCTATGTATTCCAGCCAAGGAGAGTGACCTATCAAACTGTTTGTTTCCTCGTGGCCAAATTTGAAGATATGCCTGGTTTTTATGTAAGTCTCTCATATTCCAAGATATGAGACATAGGGGAACAACGGATTTTAAAAGTGTTATCTGGTTCGTGTGCTTGGTTGGAATGTCTTTGATCTCCTGGGAAGGCTTGTGTTATCTTTTACGAGGTGTTATATTGCACAGCTCTCTTAGACAACCAGGCGTTTCAGCTCAAAAATGTTTTATAGCTCTGGGGTTCCCTGCTGTGCCCTGGCCTGCCTGTGACCCTTCCAACACACACATGTCCCTGTGGATTAACAGAGAGGAAAGGGGGAGAATGAGGGACATGGAGATTTCTTAACAAAATGGAGGACTGTGTCACTCTCTGGGTGTACGCTTGCGACATCGACCTCTTAAATTCTGGAGCCATCTGACTCTCTACTGTCGCATGAGAGTTCTAAGTCTGAGATTAGCCTCTTTAAAGGCAGCCTCATTTGCTCAGTTTCACCCTAGACCTCTACAATGCAACATTCTGTTGTCATGGGACAAGTTGATCTGGTCTCTGAACAGGCTAGGTTTTTCATGTCTGGGTGTTTTTGCCTGTGGCAACAGAGATTGCTTCCTGTCCTTGATGTTTTTAGCTTGGTCAGCCATGTACATTCTAGGCGTAGATAATTGTCCTCAGCTGGCTGTGCCTGGACCTAATGGAGTGGTCTCTACACTCACAGGTTTTCCATTACCTGTGCTGCAGGAGGGGAATGCTACATGTGGTCACCCTAGCCTCCAAGTTCCACAACAACTGGGCAGGTTTGCCCCTGGCCCTTAGCACATTTAAGGGTCAAGATTCTGTCCTTTTTTATTTTGTTTCAAAAACTGTTGGCCTGTCACTCTTTAAAGACCTTTTGCACAGGGGTTTTCCAGGTAGCTCTCCTCATCAATTTCCCTGTGACTCTGTGGGGGATCTGAATCTGGTTCTCTCTACACTTCAGAAACCACCTTTCAAACCCATTCGAGATATTATGTGTACCCTCACACACAAATCAGTATTTGTTGTAGCTGTCACCTCGGCGAGTCTCTGGACTGGCGACCTTATCTTGCAAGTATTCCTTTCAGGTCCTGAATAGGGACAAGGTGGTGGTGCCGCCCAATGCTTTTTTTTTTTTTTTGCCTAAGGTAGATTTTGTTTTTCACCGTCCTCAACCAAAACATTGTTCTTTGTCCCTCTGTCTGGTTCCAAGTCACCAAAAGGAAATTTCTCTCCAATGTTTCACAACGGTGTACTGGTTTTCTTGCTTTCAACATCTCTGGGGGACTCAAGCAGACCATCATCCAAGCTTATGGTCTCGAGGAACAGATTTCACCCTTTCCTATGAAGGCGCACTCAACTAGACCTGTGAGTGCTGCTTGAGCTTTTCAGCATCAAGCACTTGTTTCCCAGAATTTTAAGGAAGCCACCTGGTCTTGTGTTCTCTAATTTCTACAGCTTCATCTGATGCCAGCTTCAAGCATAAGGTTCTTCAGGCTCTTTTGTAGGCAGTGTGATAATTATAAGACAATAATTTCAATAACTTAACGTAACATGGTTAAGACTGAGCCACTTAATGTGGATACTGTGACCATTCTGAGTTTAAGGCTGGTCATACAGGTATCAGATTTTTATTTTTTTTTCTTTTTGCATAAATCTCAGAAGTGAATTGACTGAAATATTTACATACACTTTGGCAGGTAAAACGGATCCCATATGTGTTTTTCTACTGTGTATTTAGCTGTTCGCCTGGAATTCAGATTTTACTTCCTGTAAACCTTTGTATACTTGCATGTAAATACTACTGCTAAATCTTAAGACCATATATTGCTTATTTAGAAAATCCACCACCCCTGAAGATACAAAACCTGGGCAGGGAAGATCGCTAAATGCGCCTGATTCCACCCCAACCACGGGAGAGAAGCAGCTAGAACTGCGGCTGTGTGAGCTTTTGCTGGACATTGAAGAGCGCATCTACCAGGGTAGTCTTGGTACTGTAAAGGTATGTAATCAGAGCCTGAGGGTAAAGCATTCAGGCATTGCCACAGCACTGTGTACACTCTGGCGGCTTGGAATAGATCTTCTGTAGCTAGCTAATTAAAATTATAATCTAAAATAATTTGGGATTAAATATATTATAGGGATGAATTGAAGGATTATCAGGAGAGTACCTAATCACATTCTATATATTATGTGTCTTTCTCATGTGCAGGCAAGTCTCTGGCAGTCTGCTCATCTTTGTAACAGACAGCCCACTATGACATCCTGATTGATTTTGTCACTTGGTTTAAAACACATAATCCTTTATTGTATAACACAGGTTACTGTTTTTGCATTGGATACTGCATTCGCTCAGTGAGTATCAGAAATTCCTCATCTCTGCTTGCCTGTCGCCCTATAACAGAAATACTGCTACAGGACTGCACAAAATCACGTACAGTTGTGGTCAAAATAATTGCAGTCAGACATGACTAACCTGATCAATCACTGTTTTTGGTAGAAATGATATTTCTACATGGCAAATAATTTACTAGCAGGTGTAGTAGAGTAATAGAAATCCAACAGTCATGACATGCATGCTGCTGATTCTATGTAATTGAATCACTAATTGAAAGGGGCATGTTCAAAATAATAGCAGTGTGGAGTTCTATTAGTGAGGTCATTCATTCTTTGAAAAACAGGTGGCAATTATTGCCCTTATTTAAGGAAGGAAGGCAGCAAATGTTGTACATGCTGGTTACAGTGCATTTCTCTCTGAAATTCTGAGGAAAATGGGTCGTTCCAGACATTGTTCAGAAGAACAGCGTACCTTGATTAAAAAGTTGATTGTGAGTAGTGTTACAATTAGAAGACACCTATGTGAAGCCAAGCTATCTGTAAGAAGCCCCCGCAAAGTCCCACTGTTGAAAAAAAGACGTGCTGAAGAGGTTACAATTTGCCAAAGAGCACATTGACTGGCCTAAAGAGAAATGGCGCAACATTTTGTGGACTGATGAAAGTAAGATTGTTCTTTTTGGGTCTAGTGGCCGGAGACAGTTTGTCAGACGACCCCCAAAACACTGAATTCAAGCCACAGTACACTGTGAAGACAGTGAAGCATGGTTGCGCAAGCATCATGATATGGGGATGTTCTCATACTACGGTGTTGGGCCTATTTATCGCATACCAGGGATCATGGATCAGTCTGAATACATCAGAATACTTGAAGAGGTCATGCTGCCTTATGCTGAAGAGGAAATGCCCTTGAAATGGGTGTTCCAACAAGACAACGACCCCAAACACACCAGTAAACGTGCAACATCTTGGTTCCAGACCAACAAGATTGACGTTATGGAGTGGCCAGCCCAATCCCCGGATCTTAATCCAATAGAAAACTTGTGGGGTGACATCACAAATGCAGTTTCTGAGGCAAAACCAAGAAATATAGAAGAACTGTGGAATGTAGTCCAATTATCCTGGGCTGGAATACCTGTTCACAGGTGCCAGAAGTTGGTTGACTCCATGCAACACAGATGTACAGCAGTTCTCAAAAACAGTGCTTATACAACTAAATATTCATTAAGTGATTCAAAGGAAAGCAAAATCTTCAAACATTTTTCAGTTTATATAGTGAATGTTTGAGTTTGTAAAGAAGAATACAAACACTGCTATTATTTTGAACAGTCTAATATTCACTTTTCTTCAATTTTTTTAGAAGAACAACACAAAATTTGATATATTTTTCTTCACGTTTTGATTTGGAATAGAATGTGTAGTGTTCCCAATGCATTTGTGTGTATGGAAATAAAAGCTATTAGAAGGATTTTGAGCTTTATTCACTTTTTTCAACTCACTGCTATTATTTTGAACACAACTGAATATATACGTAGTTTGCATTTCCGGGTAGGGGGCGCGCGTCACCATTTGTGGCTAGGGATGTTAATTCCCGGGTCCCGGCTGGGGCTATCCTAAAAAAGACTATGCAATCCCTATATTGGCTCTTTGCTCCTGGATCAATACTTTGAATTTTTGCCCTAAAGATTTTGGTAAAACCACCCCTCTCTCCCCCCCTCACCTTCCTCAAAACAAAATGTTATATTTCCTGAAGCAGAAGTCCTGTAGAGTAAGGTAATTTCCAGATTTCCTTAGTTGCACAATGTTTACATAACTGTTTAAGTGTATTTTACATGGAAAATATCAGTTTCATAAATTCGCGCACACAAACAAGCTCTCTAATTTTTTTTTCTTTCTTTTTTTTTTCGTTAAAGTATAAGATTGTTTTGAGCAAATGCATACCAAATACGTCAGTCCTCAAAATTACGTGAGTCCACGAAATGGGGACCAATTGTGATGCCCAGTTTTGTGTAAAAAAAACATTTACAGCTTCTCCCTTTTATGTCAATGATGGCCCCAGAAGTATTCCTCACACCTGCACAGAGCAAGAGACTTCAACTGCACATCTATTCTCTAATCCTCCTCTGCTTGGCATCTTGATGCAGTTTTTGTTGATTCTGGACTCCCTCCCCAAAGTGGCAGGAGAGCCCAAAGACTGCATATTACCACCATATGGAAGTAATTGGGCGACTTTACAGCCGCATGATCGTTTCTGCATTACAGTACAGAGCCTGCCGTACAATTATAAACACTTTGATTTTTAGACCTTTGATTGCCATGACTTATAGAACATGGCCTTGACCGGCAAGGGGTTAAATGTGTATCTAGAATGTTTATCGGGATCAAGCAGACCCAATGCCTGAGAGAATCATGGTTTACTGTTGTTGGCAGTGCCCTCTCCAGCTTCTTCCTTTTTATCACTTCTTCATAGTATGACTGTAAACACATGGACCTCAATAGCATTCATGTGTAGACTGCATCCACAGCCATCTAGAGATGTCCCTATGATGCCTGAGACTGAACTCTGCACTGATAGTGAAAATTCAGTAGTAATCAGTTGGCTCTTAAAGTGGTATTAAACCCGAAAACAAACATTGAATAAACATTCTTTTTATTAAGATTTATGTGCAAGATAGTACAAAAAGAGACCATACAGAAAATGCTAGGGATAACATAAAGCAATCACCAGTAACATCAGACAGGCAAGCAATCTGATATCCATAGGGCACATATTGTACATATGGAGCATGTCAAGGTATAATGCCCTGAGTCAGATCTGTTGAAAAATCATGGACAGAATTAGAAAAAAAAATACAACCGTGTAGGAAATAGGAGTCCTGAAGAGATGCAATTGGAAGGCATGATGGTCAGCTAGAGGCATCTTGATAGCTGAAGTGCTTGTAACATGAATTCGACTTCTAGAATTTATCCTGTCTTGGGGTATCTCCACTTCATTGGAGGCACAATGGAGACAGCTTTGGACAGCATCATTGTAAATCAGGACAGAGGGTAGTGTTGGATGCATCAGCAAATTTAGATAGGCTTGAATAACAAATTAAAGCCGAACTCCAGCTAATATTTTTAAAGCGGTTATATCAATATTTTTTTTTTATCTTTTGGGATAAAGGTTTTATGTAAATGAATAAAAGCTGACCATTGTAAGCACCCTTGTCAGTGTTAAATGGTTGGTCCCAATTCTCTAACTACCACTTTTGCTAGACAACTTTGATCTGTTAAAGAAAGTTAGAGAAATAACTAGTGGTGCACTGAATTAAAAATTCTGAGTCGAAACCAAAAATTCAGGATGCCCTTGGCCGAAAAACCAAAACCAAAATGGTCAGTTTTTTAAAAAAAATTATATATTTTATATATAATTGTATTATATTGGACTTTTTAATCAATATCATGATTTTAAATAAATCTGAATTTAAAAAATACAATCCAGTAATGGAAAATGTTTTTGCATTTAAGTCAATGGAACGCAATTTTTGCATTGAAGTCAATTATCATTATAGACACTTCTTTCTCTTTTTTTTTTTTTTTTTTTTTTTTTTTATCGACGAAACACTGATTAACCCTATTTTCAACACATAGTGCATCACTAAATACAATGCTTATTGGCCAGATCATTCTGAGAAAATAAAGGGAAAAATGCCTCAAATAGAGAAAATAAATGCAGCCACAACATCTAAAATTTGATAAGTTGCAATGTATTACGTTTTGAGTTTAATACCGCTTTATATTAGCATCTGATATGATTGGGGTGCTTTCATTTGTGTTGTAGATGAATTGGTCATTCATTGATTCTTGCTTACAGGCGCCAGATAGGCAGCTGTGGAGGGCAGCTCTGGATAATCGTTCTTATGAACTCTTAGTTGAAGAACCAAAGGACAAATTCCTAAAAGTTGAAGACAATGAAGTGGAGGAGATGGAAGTCGATGGCAAGCAAAACATTAAAGATGGGTTAGTTCTACTTTTTTGGTTGTTGGTGTATTAGTACATTAACCATTACTAACTTCTATAGGGGTTCTTTATGTCACTATCTGAAAATATTAGTTTTTTTTTTCCCCATGTATTGTTTTCATCTACACTTTGCACAATTGTCTGCAATACCTCTTTATAATCTTCTAAAGTGTATCTCGGGGCAAAATATTCAGAACATCATGCAATACTTTCAGATTTTCCCAAATTATTTCACTTAAAGAAATAAATGTATATTATGAAGATGAGAACATGGGGAGGTATTCTGTTGTCAAATGGGGGTGAACTCAAGCAGGTCTGACAACACTACATAGGATTTCATTGTGACAGAGCTGTCACTCAGAAGTTAAGAGCTCAATGGACTTCTGCTAGGTTCAACAGGTATCTTTCAGTATTTGCAGCATTTTTAAAGCGACAAAACACAGGGACATGTGAATGTATTGCTGGAATTTACAGATTTTTTTTTTTCAGTCAATTCCAGAGCTTGAGTGGTGAACACAAGATGTCTGCATTTATCTTTTTTAACTGCACTCCAGTTGTCTCTGTGGCTTAATTTCTGACAGTAATTATGTTTTTCCCAGTAGTGTGCGCTACAGAAAATAGTAGAGCACAATTCATTTGATGGAGTATGGCATATGAGATTTCCAGTATCGGGCCCTGTTTTTTTTTTGTTTTTTTTTTTTTTTTTTTTTTTGTTTTTTTTTTGTTTTTTTTTTTGTTTGTTTTTTTTGCCTTTTAACGTGACATACCATCGGACTGTATGTTGGCAATTTCATTGTAATGGACCAGTGAATAGTGCAATAAAGCAAAGGCAAGATTTTCTGGTTGCCCGCTATGCTTTTTGCTTTGCTCAGACCACAGCATTATATTGTGCATACTGTACAGGCACTGGATGAACAAAGAGGTTCAAGCTATTGTGGTGTTTTGACTGCTGATCCAAACTCTTAGACTTTTTTTTGCTTTAGATAAACACTCTGATTTAATAAAAAAAAGATCTTTTTGGTGTGCATTACTAGAGAAGTTTTTTTTTTTCCTTCGGAGATGCATGTGATCAGCACTGACCAGACAGAGATCAGGGGTTCTTCACCCATCCTCCTAGAGCAGAAATAAAACTCCTCCTACAAGCTTTAACCAGTGCTCAGCTGGATAGTGATAGAAGTTACAAGACTGCTATATATTGCTGATGAGAAAAGGTGTTTAGCAGTTTATATTTACTAAATTAATTGCATTTGGTATACACCAGGGATGTCGAACTCCATTTCATTGCAGGCCGCATCAGTATTTTGGTTGCCCTCAAAGGGCTGGATGTATCTATAAGACTAGATTTCCAGACACCCCACCCCCCCTTACATCAGCTGTCAGGAGTCCCCTTATTATCAGGAGTTGAGTCCCCCTTACATCGCAGTGAACCCCCTTACATTTGTGCTGCTGTCAGGAAGAAGCTTAGGATGGAGCTGGGAAGCAGAATGTGCAGGATCTGGAGGAGGGCTGGAGTCAGCTGAATGCTGAGACCAGAGGAGGCGGAGACAATGGGGTGTTGCAGCTGCACAGAGGAGCAGGATCTGTAGGAGTTCTGGCAAGCCACATTTGGCCCGTGGGCTTTGTGTTTGACACGTGATATACACAATCCTCATTGGTGTTTCTCAAGAACATTATCCTGGACTTTTTTTTTTCTTCTTTTTAAGCTCCTTGGTCTTCATAACACTGTTTGTTTGGATATGTCCTATAACTCTCAAGAAACGTGCATTTATTTTAAGTTAATGTGGCACTTTAATTGTACATAAATGATAGATTTATCTAATTATGTGGCTTATAAAGGAAGTTGCTTGCACCAAAGTGGTTTCAGGGGTTACACAACAAAATGATAGACCCTCATGCAATTACATTTTCCTTTAGTAAATATGAGAAACAATACATTTTTCTTTCATTTTGAATCATAGACTATGTCCTCATGCACACAGACCATTTTTTACAGCTGCTGTTTTTGGCTTTTGACGTTTTTTTTTTCTACAGCCGGTAAACTCCCCAGCATGTTATCCTATGTGTCCATGCGCACATAGACTGTAATCAACGTTTTTTGGCAGGGGTGTTTTTTTTGGATGAAAAAAAAAAACAACTAGTGGGTTTCTAGAGGATTTTTGTAGCTGTAAAAATCTCTTAACGCTGAACAAAACGTGGTAAATTGTGGCAAACCAGTGTTTTTTAAACTTTTTTTTTTTTTTGACCAAAAAAAAATTTTTTTTTTTTTGAGCAAAATAAAGCTCTAAAAAACACAAACACAGCTAAACGCTAATAAAAAAAAACGCTGAAAACTGTGCATGGAGCCTAATTAGTACAGATTAGTGGCATACAGTAACAAACCAATTTTTTTTTTAATGTAATATATCTTTGTCAACAAAAAAAAAAACATTTATTTGATTAAATCCACCTTAAAGTGGTTCTAAAGGCATTACATTTTTTTCCTTAATGCATTCCCTGCATTAAGGTAAAAAATGTCCCAGTAGCAGCCCCCCTAAATACATACCTGAGCCGTCACTTGATTCAGTGCTGTGCTCTTCTGTAGCTACTCCCTCCTCTCTCACACAGGCTTTACTGAGGCAGTGGGAACCATTGGTTCCGCTGCTACCAGTCAAATCAGGGGCAAGGGTTAATCCTTTGCATGCATACCATGTCCTAAAAGGTGTCCATCTTTTCCATATCAGAAGGTTTGGAGATCTGTTACGAAGTGTGAAAAAGTCAGAGAGGTGGATGTTTATGTAAAGTACAGTAAATGGCTTTGGCACTAAAGATTGCAAGTAGTTTATTTAAAGCAATAAATACCAATTGCGTTTGGAGAATATTTCTAGTTCTTGGAGTGACCTACAGTGGGGTTCTATCAGCGTCATTTGATAGTGTTTCTAATGTACTGTAAGGGACAAAACCACATCCTCAATTTCTTTCCAGTAGGAAAGAAAACTGAATGAAGAGCCACTCTGTAGAAAATTGCAAGGGTTTCTGCAAATGGTTAGTCTTGGCAGCTTACATTCTGCTGTACCAGCCACATACACACTGGAGCAGTACAATACCATTAGCCTTTTTTCTTTGTTGTTAAACTAAAATGTTTTGTGCAACTCAAATATCAATGGCTCAATTCCCTACAGACAGCATTCCTTACATGTAGCCTAACCCAGTCTCTGATCAGCAACTTATATATGTTTACAATTGGTTTACATATTTTCATGTAGGTTACAAGGTATGAAAAATGAGGATCCAAGTGTTCCATCTACAAATGCCAGCACCCCTCAGCCAGCAGCTACTTCAGTACAGCATCTGGCCCGAGCATTACTACAGATACAGCAAGGCGTGGAACGCAAGTACTTAAAGGCTCCACTTGGTAAGAGTTTTAGCAGAAAAAAAAGCAGGCAGCTATTGAATACATTTTTAAGTTCTTGTTAATAACTATGTGGTATTGCATTTTGGTGATGTATTTCATATCAATGCTGACAGTATTGTGTAGTGCCATTACACAGTGTAACTAAACCCCCCCTCCCAATTCCCGGCTATCTGAACATTTTCCACTGTATTTATTTTTTTAGGAGATGCAGAAGATACTAAAAACTCAAAATCGGACAAGAAAAAGAAGGAAGAGAAGAAGAAGAAAGATGAGGATCAAACTAGTGAGAAGGATGGTATGTGAATATTTCATTGCCTGATATATATACAGTCAGGTCCATAAATATTGGGACATTGACACAATTCTAACATTTTTGGCTCTATACACCACCACAATGGATTTGAAATGAAATGAACAAGATGTGCTTTAACTGCAGACTGTTAGCTTTAATTTGAGGGTATTTACATCCAAATCAGGTGAACGGTTTAGGAATTACAACAGTTTGCATATGTGCCTCCCACTTGTTAAGGGACCAAAAGTAATGGGACAATTGGCTTCTCAGCTGTTCCACGGCCAGGTGTGTGTTATTCCCTCATTATCCCAAATACAATGAGCAGATAAAAGGTCCAGAGTTCATTTCAAGTGTGCTATTTGCATTTGGAATCTGTTGTGCTGTCAACTCTCAAGATGAGATCCAAAGAGCTGTCACTATCAGTGAAGCAAGCCATCATTAGGCTGAAAAAACAAAACAAACCCATCAGAGAGATAGCAAAAACATTAGGCGTGGCCAAAACAACTGTTTGGAACATTCTTAAAAAGAAGGAACGCACCGGTGAGCTCAGCAACACCAAAAGACCCGGAAGACCATGGAAAACAACTGTGGTGGATGACCGAAGAATTCTTTCCCTGGTGAAGAAAAACACCCTTCACAACAGTTGGCTAGATCAAGAACACTCTCCAGGAGGTAGGTGTATGTGTGTCAAAGTCACCAATCAAGAGAAGACTTCACCAGAGTGAATACAGAGGGTTCACCACAAGATGTAAACCATTGGTGAGCCTCAAAAACAGGAAGGCCAGATTAGAGTTTGCCAAACGATATCTAAAAAAGCCTTCACAGTTCTGGAACAACATCCTATGGACAGATGAGACCGAGATCAACTTGTACCAGAGTGATGGGAAGAGAGGAGTATGGAGAAGGAAAGGAACTGCTCATGATCCTAAGCATACCACCTCATCAGTGAAGCATGGTGGTGGTAGTGTCATGGCGTGGTCATGTATGGCTGCCAATGGAACTGGTTCTCTTGTATTTATTGATGATGTGACTGCTGACAAAAGCAGCAGGATGAATTCTGAAGTGTTTCGGGAATATTATCTGCTCATATTCAGCCAAATGCTTCAGAACTCATTGGACGCCGCTTCACAGTGCAGATGGACAATGACTCAAAGCATACTGCAAAAGCAACCAAAGAGTTTTTTAAGGGAAAGAAGTGGAATGTTATGCGATGGCCAAGTCCATCACCTGACCTGAATCCGATTGAGCATGCATTTCACTTGCTGAAGACAAAACTGAAGGGAAAATGCCCCAAGAACAAGCAGGAACTGAAAACAGTTGCAGTAGAGGCCTGGCAGAGCATCACCAGGGATGAAACCCAGCGTCTGGTGATGTCTATGCGTTCCAGACTTCAGGCTGTAATTGACTGCAAAGGATTTGCAACCAAGTATTAAAAAGTGTAAGTTTGATTTATGATTATTATTCTGTCCCATTACTTTTGGTCCCTTAACAAGTGGGAGGCACATATGCAAACTGTTGTAATTCCTACACCGTTCACCTGATTTGGATGTAAATACCCTCAAATTAAAGCTGACAGTCTGCAGTTAAAGCACATCTTGTTTGTTTCATTTCAAATCCATTGTGGTGGTGTATAGAGCCAAAAATGTTAGAATTGTGTCGATGTCCCAATATTTATGGACCTGACTGTATAATTGTACAGTACAAGACACAAGAGTGGATTCTTAGACAATGGGTTATCTGCCACTACTTTCAGGTGATTGGACAATGGCAAAAGCTTTGCTGGTAACTTCCCTCCATTGTAGCTATATTAACCCACTCCCCTATTCCAGGTCTCCAGACCATTGCTAGTGTCTCTAGGTGACAGACCCTTTTTCCTGCTGGAGAAGATTTTGTATCTATTTTCCATCAGGTTTCTTCCTTTTTTCAACTGACTTGTCTATCAAGATCCAATTGCTTATTGCCTTATGGCTCGCCAGTGTTTTCCGGATTGATTACCCTCCATGTACACCATGGTAACTGTACCTGTTTCCCACAGCAGGAGAGTAAACTTGTAATGCTTGCTTTGGCACTGGAAACTGCTTGCAGCACTCTCCTTGGTACGTGGTGCAACAAATGAGTTAGTTACAGAGTGCTTTACAGGCCCAAGGCAGTAATCTAACCCTGTGGCACCCAAACAATGATGAGTAAAACCTGGACCCTGGTCAGGTCCAGCAACATGGGTAAGGTAAAACAGGGTTTCCCTGTTCCTTTACATACTAGATCCTGTCTACACACACCTTGTTGGATTCTTATCTGGATACGCAGTAGATACTAAACTATATCCTTTATCCTGCAAGACATCACAGTGCTAAGTGCACAAGTGGTCTGGAAGGCACAGGCTATGGGGTAATTTACACTCTTAAGTGTATTTGCCCTAGCTATTATTTTCCCGCTTACTCATCCTTACAGGTAACTCAGCTGGCACCTGGGTTATATAGCATTTTAATCATACTAGACAATCTGAACCCCCTCAGACCGCATCCCCTCTTGTGCGTATCCCGCGGGGGAAGATCTTCTCTTAGCAATGGGGGATTATGGGCATACAGGAGCACATGGACCAACAGCAGAGAATCCGCTGCAAGCCCTAGGGAAACTCCAAGCACTCCATTCTCCTAAGTATGACTACATCACAGTTTTGCAACATGTCTGATCAAACCAACATTTTCTGTCACGGTCTGACCTAGTCCATATGGGGGGATGGTTTTTCACCCCCAGTATTTTATGAAGTTGCTTCTTGACACCTGCTGGCTACTGTGGACTTATTGGTTGAAACAGTAAGTTCTGGATATGAGATAGATAGATCTTGTACTGCTCATCCTCCACATTCGTCCAAGTGCAAAAAAGGCATTTCCTAGAAAGCCTTTTGCCTATTCTTGTTTAAGCTGACTGGGACTCGTATAATAATGGACCCACTCAAAGAGGTTATTCTTTCTTAATAATTTGTATGCCTTGTACCCCATCGAAGGTCAGTTAGGAGGGGATGGACTGTTTCCACTGTCCCATTAGCCATTCTTGCACTAAATAATCAGGCTACCATTTCCATTGTAGGTATTCCCTCCTTTATAGATTCAGTTGATAGGCGTTTGGTAAAGTTTTTCCTCCTATTCCTTGTCAGGCCCAGCCCTGCAACTGACTGTTACCACCTTTTCAATTGCCCAGACTATGGCAAATTTGATTGGAGAAATCAATAGTGAATTTTCTTCGATTTATAAATTATTCTAATCTTGTTGCAAGATTACAACTCTTGAATTCAGCACTGCTCTTCTGTGTAGGATATTATGTTCTGTTCAAAGATTGTGACTTAAAGCCTGGGTGACATAATACCCTTGTGAAAGGTGCCTTTATTGCACATGCCATTTGAAAGTAAGCTCCTCTTTGGAAGTTCCCTTCAGGAATACTTTGAGGTGGCTACTAAGTGAAGGGGTTCCTTCCCCACTATATTCAATCATGTCACCCTATTCAGTGGGCCTCTCCTAACATACAGATACAGTCTGTTCCCCTACTCAGGGAGTCCTCATCTGCTCTAACTTTATAAAGGGACACAGAGCTACCAACATTTTTTCTGTTCACATTTACACAACGAATTTCTGACTGTTGGATTCTTGAGCCTCTGCAGATCCCTGCTTCGACTACAAGGTGCTTTTGCTGTCAACGGTCTATCTAGTCTGTTGACCCTTCCTTTTCTTCCTGTGGGCCTGTTGGGTACAGTGTGGGATGGTCCCAGTGAACTGTTTGCCAGTTTCCAATCACCTGAATGTAGTAGCATAATAACCTATGGTCTAAGAATCCTTTCCTATGTCCTGTATTTTATGTAAAGATATGAAATTTACAGGTATGTCAAAATTCCTATTTTGTCTTTCCACTGTAGATACTAGTGAAAGTGGTCGCATTCAAAGGACAGTACTAGATCGATGGCGTGAATCATTACAGTCATCTGGTAGCTTTTCACAGATTTTCCTTCATTTGGCTACTTTGGACCGCAGCATCTTGTGGTCACGCTCCATTCTGAACTTCAGGTGTAAGGTGTGCCGTAAGAAGGGAGATAGCGAGAGTATGTTCCTGTGTGACGGCTGCGAGAGAGGGCACCATATCTACTGTGTACGACCCAAACTGAAGGTTGGTTCTTTTGAGTCTGTTGATAATCTTTTCATTGTGTCTTTACTGGCATCTACAGGGTTTGCATTGATTGATACCCAGATTGTTTTTAGCTGGTGAGTCAGATGTTAAAGTTGGGGTTTTACATAAGCAGATATAGACCCTTGACTTTATCAAGGGTCCTGGCCCAAATTTCTGGGTTCCATGGATTCTCACAAAAGTACTTTTCTAGTAACCATATACATATTTGAACAAATATGGTGTGTGTTTGTATATATGTATGGGTGGGGGTGTATGTATGTATGTATGTATGTGTGTATGTGTATGTAATATATTTATTATTATTATTAGGGATGCACCGAGATTCCGGTTGCCGAAACGTTTCATACACATAGTGGTGAACCCGTACGTAGGCCATGCACACATATGTAAATGGTGTTCAAACCACACACGTGAGGTATCACCATGAACGTCAGAGCAAGAGCAATAATTCTCTCACTAGACCTCCTCTGTAATTTTACACTGCTAACCTGTAGACCTTTTTAAAGCATCACCAATGGAGATTTTTAAGTAGCGCAGTTTCACGCCATTCCACGAGCATGCGCAATTTTAAAGCATGACATGTTTGGTATCTATTTACTCGCTGTAACATCTTCTTACATATTTTACAAAACAATTGGGGTATATATTGTTTTTTTTTTAATCAAAGTGTATTTTTTCCCCAAAAAAATATATATTCATTTTAAAAACTGCGCATTTCGGTTTTTGGCCAAGTGCATTTTGAATTTTCAGTTTCGGCACCCGAATTTTCATTTTGGTGCACCACTAATATATAGAGAGATATATGCCTGTATTCCTTACCACTGTGCAGGTGTGTTGGATTAGCAGGTACAAAAAAGTACTTTGACAAAAAGGAGGTTCCACTAATCATGAAATCTAAGGGTTCACCTACTTTTTTATATAGTTATTTTTAAGACCGTGCCAAGGAAATGTAACATCAACCCAGCTGCTGTGTTAGGAATATTCACTGATATTCAGAAAAAGAATATATGTAAAATATACAGCACTAGAAAACAAACTTGTGCAAATCCCTTAAATGTTCATATTCCCTTGCCTAAAAATAAGAATATTATGCAAATTTATACAGAGAAAGTGCCGATGGTTCTATAACAGTACTTCCAAAAGTGCTATTTAGTGCTATAAGTTCATATGCATCAAAAACCAACCCAAAAAGATAATTCATATAAAAACTGGTTAAAAAAAAAAAACAAAAAACTACTGAAAGATGCAATGTGCTCAATTATTCCACAATCACAGTGTTGAAATTCTATTGCACACACTAAAGGGGTATAGAAACATCATTAAGTGTCCAGTTTAGTAAACTATTGTTTTTCCAGCAACCTGTAAACACTTCCAGTATGTCTTCTGAGAGTTCATTCCATCCCTTTTTGTTAATCCTCCACCATGCTGTACAGAAAATGCACCAGAAACTTATCTGGCTCCCTTGCACCTTTTCAATATCTTCCTATAAACAGGCAGCTTACTTCAGAATTCCAGAGAATTCAAACCACATTAGGAGAAAGTAGCAGCAAAAGGACTTGCAGAGCATAAAACGCTATAAAAATTTGTTTAAAATCACATATAAATCAAATCTTCATTGCACTCACATTTTTTTCTTTTTTGTGCCAGTCCCAGCATTAAGGTATACAGGCTTTTTCATTTACACAGTGCCGGCTCCACCAAACAGCACTTTCTAGATGCGAATGGGCATGCCGTGTGGGACGTGCCCAAACCCCGCTCTACGTTTCATTATTCAACGTCATCAGGGACGGACCGTGTAATCCTTCAGCAAAAGTGCAAAAATCCAAACACTGGCATCACAATGCCCAATCAGCAGTGAAACTACATGTGTTTCCAAATTAAACATGTGCCACATTCAGCAGCTCTCTAGTCCCTCTTCTTACTAATTTTTATATGAATTTTTTTTCTGGGGGGGGGGTGGTTTTGATGTATATGAATTTATAGCACTAAGTATTACTTTGGAAGTACTGTTGTAGCACTATCAGCACTTTCTCTGTATAAATTTGCTTAATATATACATAGAATTTTAAGGCAAAGGAATATGAACATATGAGGGATTTGCACAAATTTGTCTTCTAGCTCTGAATATCACATACTTTTTTCCAATGGTAAAAACATATTGATGTAAAATGTGAGTTAAATGACTAGCTTCATTAATATGCCCTAGATGAAGATTTTTGGAGAGATGCTGATACATAAATACAAAAAAATTCCAGAGTTCACAGATCCCCCAACTAAGGTCCTGGATTCTGAAAAGAACTTTGTGTGTTTCTTACAGTTTATTCCTGATGGCGACTGGTTCTGTCCTGAGTGCCGACCTAGAAGACGAGCCCGCAAGCCTGGTCGACCAAGGCGCTCCATGGATAGTGATGTGGAAGAGGAGGATTTTGCAGAAGAAGAGGAGTTGCAGAGAGATTCTGAGAAGGATGGGGAAGAGGAGACAGTTCTGTTTGAGGAAGAAAGGTAGACAAGGAGAGGAGATTAACAATAGGAGTAGACATTTTTTTAAAGGAACATGGAGGCAGCCATTGCTGACCTGTCTCTGAAAATATAGTCTCCTAGCTGTTGCTCTAACTCTCTCTACTTGATAATGGGTTACTGTCCTGGACACAGTCCTTGTCTCTGTCTGTTGCAGGTCAGTGACTTCAAGCTGGAGGGTCAGCATGAATTTCAAGCATTCTAGTATCTTCAGAAAAGTTCCTTTTAAATCCTACAATGGTTTATCTTGTGCCTATTTGAATTGCACAATAATATTTGGCATTGCCCACTCTTGTCAGACATAAACTTACCTACTTATGGCAAATGTATTGTTGCTTCTATTCAATGTTCATATTTTTGGAGAAGGTCTCCATAGTCTCACTTGTAAAACCGAGCCTAGAAGAGAAGAGGCATTATACTTCCTGTATCTTCAGCCTGTATGTTGAAGCACTGTCTATTTGCCGTTCAATGACAGTTGTGTCTAATTTCTGTTCATCCCACTTGACACCGTGGTTCTTCCTTTATTGACATTATTTGGGTTTGTAGAATGTTGGCTTCCCTCGGCAAAGCATCAGAGGAGCAGATATGCTACACATTCAAAGGTATTGAATACAGTCAATGACTGGGAGGAAGCAGCATTTCAATACATAGGCTGGCTAAAGGAAAGTATTTTTTTTTTTTCTCTACAGGCTTGGTATTTGTATGTGTGACCTTGCTATGACAGGCCGACTTTGTTATGACCGCAGCTGTTTTCACATTATATCACACCCTGAGCCATTCATATTATGTGACTTATTATGACAGGTTCACTTTAATGTTTAAAACTGAGATGGTATTAGTAGAGCATGACTTGTAGCTTGTCAGGACATAAGCAGACCATTTTGATTAAAATGATTAATACTAGGGGAAAACTGAAGTTAGAAGGTTTTTTCATTAAAGATGTGTCATTTTAAAAATACATCGTGTGGTACAGGGACCACTGAGACCAGGCTTCTTTTCTAAGTAGGGCATGTAGAAGTATAAAAATAACTGCTGACTGAGTGACAGTTAGCTGTAGGTTGGTGAATACTTTTGACTTAATAGTTTTGGAGATCACATTAAAGTGATAGTTTTTTTTTTTTTGTGAAACTAGTAACCTTCTGCAGGATCATCGATATACATTGCATAGGTTTTAGCAAGCTTGCATATTCTGCTCTGCTGATGTTCTCAAGATACGTAGAAAGAAAAGTACATACCCTGAACCTGTGTAGACAAACATATTCCCTGTGTTGGAGTTGTAAAGAATACTAGTTGGCTGCAGATTGATATAGGCACTTTTAATAACAGGTTTGCTTTTATAGCCAGTTTAAGTAGAAAGAATTTGTGCAATTTTGCCTAAAGTGTGAAAGTTTTGGTCTTCCTTTGCACCCCTTCTCTGAGTACATTTTATATCTTTTTCTTTTAGTACAAAAAAGAAAAGCAAAGCCAAATTAAAGTTACCTTTAAAGATTAAAGGACGCAAATCTACTGGAAAGCCTGGACCTAAGAAACAGTCTGGGAAGTCACCGAAAAGCCAGCAAGGTACTCCAAAAACTACTCCACCTGCTTCAAAGGGCAGAGGAAGAAAAGCAAATTCTGCCCCTCCACAAGAGAAGAAAGGAGGAGCTCGGCATTCTGTGCACACTTCCCAGCCCAGTGCTGAGGGCCATGAGACATCTCTGGTGGAGTTGGTATCTGCATCAGGCCATGGACGGGGTAGAGGGAGAGGAAAGAAAATAAAATCTGTTGATAACACCCCAGTGGGCAGCCCTTTTGCCTTTCGTCCATTTAGTTTGGATACTGTTGAACAGACACCTAAAGGACCAAAGGAACAATTTGAGAATGTTACACCTACTCGGAAAGGCAGAGGAAGGGGCAAAAAGCGATCACCAGGTGAGTTATGTTAATGACGTCCTGCATTTATCTTTTGGTATCACAAATACCCTAAATAAATGTAAGAAATTAACACAGCAAATTATATTTTAATTTTCTGAAAGTATAAAGATCCCCTTAAAGGGAAAGTTCTCCACACTCTACAGTCACAGTCCACTTAAACCCAAGATTAAAAGCTATACACCTCATAAAAAACATGAGAACAGCTCCATAGTGTAGTGAATTTTAAAACATTTATTGCAATCCAAGTATTGCACTTACAAATAGATCGATAAACTAAACTGCACATCTGAAACGTTCATATCCACACACACAAGCCGCGGCTTTCTGCATGATGACTCCAAAATGGAGCTGTTCTCCATACAGAATTGCATATTAGATGATTTCAAAAGTTCACTTTAACATAGGTGCAGCGCCACCCTTGATAATTTTGAATTGAAAGTAGACTACCACCAAGTTCATTTAGTATTTTTCAGTGGATTCACAGTGGTGTTGAAAAAAATCTAAGGAAGAAAACGGCTATTTATTTATTCATTTGGGACTTTTCTTTTGTTCTACACAGATGCTATGTGGAACTTTAGGAATATTTTGAATTATGTTTAGTAGATGTATATCAAATTTCACTTGATGTGATTTAGGGTATTTGTTGATTTTATTTTTGTGTTTTTATTAATTTTTGACATGACCGGATTGACTCAGTATTGCATATTAGATGATTTAAAAAGTTCACTTTAAAATAGGTACAGAGCAACCCTTGATAATTTGTATTTCGATACGTTGCTGGTACATCCCAACAGTGTGGCAACAGCATTGATTATTTAGGCAGATATTTTTTAATTAATTTTATTGAGAGTTTAACACAATTTAACCACTCCAGAAGATTTACCCCCCTTTCCTGACCAGGCCATTTTTTGCGATACAGCGCTGTCTTACGTTAACTGACAATTGCGTGGTCATGCAACGCTGCTCCCAAATTAAATTTATGTACTTTTTTTTCCCCCACAAATAGAGCTTTCTTTTGGTGGTATTTGATCTCCTGTGTGTTTTTTTTTTTTGCGTTAAAAAAAGACAGAAAATTTTTTTTTTTTACTTTTTGCTATTAAACATGTCCAGTAAAAAAAATGTAAACCAAATTTCATCATAAATTTAGGCCAAAATGTATTCTGCTACATTTCTTTGCTAAAAAAAAAAAAAAATCCCAATACATGTAAATTAATTGGTTTACGTGAAAGTTATAGTGTTTACAAATGGCGGTATATATGCTGGAATTTTTTTCTTTAGTTTCTTCTTACTAGTAATAGTGGTGATCAGCGACTTATAGCGGGACTTCGGCGGACATTCTGACAGTGGGGAGAACTGACTTGGTGTCACTGACATCCCCAGTGACACCAATACAGTGATCAGTGCTAATGGCACTGGGCAGGAAGGGTTAACATGTTTGGCGATGAAAGGAGTTAACTGTGTGCTGTGTGAGTGCTTTACGCTGTAAGCACACTGCTTTGTATGGCTGTGCTATGCAGAGCCATACATAGTAGTGTGCAGGAGCTGATGGGAGAGATCTGTGTTGTTTATACACAGGTCTCTACCCCGTTGGAGATACTCGGCGATCACTGAATGACGTTGAGAAATCACCGTCCGGGACCCGGTGATTGACAGCCAATGGCGTGAATTCCCTACCTGGAACTGCAAAATCCTGTGTATATATATGTGATTTTTGCACACCTATGCCGCCCTGTAGCAGTATTTCTGCTATAGGGTGGTGTGGAAGCCATTAATCACTAGAACTCTTTTGTTGTATACTAGAACTCACAAGAGTAAATACCAAAAGTATGGTGTGGCAAAAGTCCCTTATATATTCCTTTATTGGTAGTGTGCTTTCATCTTAACTGGGATGGGGGGGGGGGGGTGTCACTGTTCTCATTCATCTTACAGGTTGCTGTCGTGGAATACTGTTGACCAGTAAGTCTACCTGGAAATTTTGGCATCCTCCATAGCAATTTTGTTTCTATATTCACTGCCTTCTGTGTGTTTGCAGTGTGCTGTACATTACCAGCATTTGTAAGATGACTAGGTGGTGTAACTTCAGTGTGTAAGTGACATAAAAGATGGCCATGATTAATACTTTGTCATATTTTCCTGTTTTGGTTAGTGATCACAAAACATTGATGCCAGAAAGCTGTCATGACAGCCAGGTCACTAGCTTTCACAGAAGCAGGTCTGCAGTCACAGTCTTGTATTTCTTTTATGACAGGTTTACGTTAAACCCTCTTGATTTTTTGTAATTTCTTTATATTTTTATGCAAGACATCATAAACAAAAAAGGGGCAAACGACAAGCATTGTTACAAATGGTGAAAGTATAAGAGAGAATGCTGACCAAAAGCAAAGTGTGCTGCATACAATATGACCAGAAAGATCAATTTGTAAGGACGGGTATAACACAAACGGGGATAATGGACCAGGCAAAACCAATTACAGATAAATCGAAAAGTATACATCTTGGAACAAAGCAGAGTGTGAGGGGGAGTAGGGCAAGGCAACATAAAACTGGCTGATATGCAGCAGGTCACTAGGATATCGTAAGGGCAACAGGTGTAGGTATTACCAGCAGCAGGTGAAGTAATAGAGCGATATCAAGGAAAATCGGGAGAGCTGGAAGAGAGGCCTGCTTTGGTACCCTACGAGAAAAGACGAAGGAAGAGGGGGGCCCATGGAAAGGGGGGGGGTGCTCTTTTAATTTTAAATGATAATCCCTCGTGCTTGTAGAAACCATGAGGCATCCTCCATCTTTTACATATCACTTATACCCGCAGATGAGACTTTATGGTCCAATAAATACTTTAATTGCAGTTTCTTCAGTTAGTGACACACTTAGAGTAAACAATGATTCATACTCGGCAGGTAGTCATCAGAGTGGTTTATTAGGTAAACCCAAGGCAAATGCAGATACAGTGTTCAAGGAAAAACTCAGCACGTTGGTGTGTAGATGTTTTCTTGGTCCCTACACATTGCTGTATTTGCATTCTGCTTACCTAAGAAAGTTGCTTGCCGTTTTCTGTAAAGAACTTGGCAAGTTTTTCCCTGTGAAGGAATCGCTGGAGTATGCGCATCAGTTTACACATCTTTTGGTAACTCTTTAAATAAATGTTTCAGTTTTGAATTTAATGGTTTAGAGATGTACTGAGAAACATGAAGCATTCTCTGAAAATGCTAGATTTGTGGCTGTCATGTTGATCCAATGGGTTTAGTCACTTACCTGGAACAAATGCCAACAAATATGTCAGAACATAGTTTTTCTTTACTCAATTGTTCTAGGTCAGTGATTCATAGTATTAAAGCCTTTGGATCAGTATGACAGGTGTGCTGTGCTACTAACAGTTAGTCGACAGCTAGCTAACAAAACTGACAGAATTAGCATCATTTCATTCCAAAATTAAAGTGAATAGTTCTGTAAACCTGAAATACAATCACATAAACTGAAGTTACAATATGCTTGTAGATATGTCTCTTATAAATGAATACAAAACTGCCCACCTACATTACATATATTGAAGTGCGATCTAGATATATAATTGACTGACAAACAGAACGAAAGAACTTACACGCATATGTGTATCAAAGGGAGAAGGGAAGTTTTCACTGGTGTTTTCTGGAAGATGAACTGGACTGATGTGAGAGTGAAAATTTCTGTTTCAGAAAAAATAGACTGCAATTGCAGTGAATCCCCAATAGATGGCTCCCTACTCAACACAGTGTGAATGCAGAACAACAGGAATCCAGCATTTTTATCTGAAGAGGCCAGCAATGGCTAAATACAGGCAACAAGAAAGTTGTCTTTTAGTGAAGGAGACCAAAAAGGGTGCAGTGTCTCTCAGCCACCATTGCAGTGTACATTTTTGAAATGGAGGTGATATAAGCAGCTATTTATTGTGAGCACTCATATTGGGGAGGCCGTTTATGAAATATTAGAGGAAAGAAACTGGGAATAAATGAGTTGTTGTCCATGGTTATCAATCTGATAACTTATTACAAGAACAAACCCAATTGGTCACTCTGGGTAACAGTTTATTTATTCCTATTATTTACAGTGTCAGCCTGAATGTTTCTGTGCAGGGGTTTTCCTTACTGTGGCTGTCAAACAGAGGTTCATTGTAGAATACTTGCAAGTCCCTATACCAGGGTAACTTTCTCGTGGTGGAACATAAACTAATGCTGAAAATATTATTTACCAGTGAAGTTGGTGTATTGATAAATGCAGCCATGCCAAGATTTTTATACAATGGTTACCATTTATTCTACTTGGTAAAATACAGAACTAGAGGAGACACTTGTCAACATCTTTGCCAAAGGACCAGATTGCAAAATATGAGCTCCCCTAACTCTGAGGGATGGGACAATTATAGAAAACACTTTTATCCACTTCCGGTGCAGGCCAAGTCTGACATTCTTCTCCTACATGTGGAAAAAAACAAATTTGTTCTTTTTATCCTACTTATCCAGGGACTAAATTCGTGCCCCCATCTACTTCTCCCTCATGGCTATCTACTTGTCCTTCATGACAATCTACTTGTCCAGATAAAAAAATTATTTAATTTTAAACTGTATTTAAATTGGAAGTGATATTAGGAATGTCTGGGGCTTTATGGCGACTTAAACGTTTAATATTTTTAACATTGCGCTGTTTATCTCCTCCCCTCCCTGCCTGTCTCCAGCACCACACCCTGGGACTAGCAGGGAGGGGAGAGACCTTGCAGTGTAATGAGCACCGATTGGCTACTTCTCAGGAAAGGGTGGGTCAGGGCTTATCCTTTATCCCTTTCGCTGCCAGAGCCGTTTTTGCATTTTTTGCTCATGTTGGGCCTGAAGATTTCATATTAAACCCCCAAACACATATTTTCTGAAATCAGAGATCCTAGAGAATAAATTAGTGGTAGTTCCAATTTTTTATGTCACATTATCACAAAATTTCAGTAAAAAATAGAAGTAAGTTAATTTTAGGGCACAAAACAGCAATAAATTACCCTATTTTTGTTGTAAAATATAAAACATGAGGTTGCAGCGAGTAAATAGATATCCAACTTGTCAAACCTTAAATTTGTGCGTGCTCGTGAAATGTCGACGAACTTCAGTACCCTATATCTTCTAAAGGTGACACTTTTATAGCGCCCTATAAGGTCATCAGTTTAACGTTACGGAGGTGGTCTGGTGCTAGAATTATCGCTCTCATTCTGCCGTGCGCCGCGATATGTGACGTGTATTGCAATCAACATTTTCATGCGTAGGTGCCCCAGACTGTGCTTGTACACACGTATTTGTGGGGATGGGTGGGCCTCAATTCTTTTTGGCGGGGAATGGTATGTGCTTGGGTGTACCTTTTCGTTTTTTACAATAAAAAAAAAATAACTTTTTTTTTTTTTTTACTTTTTTTTTTCATCACATAGGGGACAAAGTCCCCTATGTGATGTTTTTTTTTGGTGACAGGTTCCCTTTATTGAGGCATCCAGGGTCTAAAAGACCCTGCATGTCTCCCCTGTGCTCCACTGAATGTAATGTGGAGTACATCGCACCGCATTACATTCTTTCCTGGCTTCCATGGCCAGGAATCTCTCAACAGGGACCCCCCCCCCCGTTCGTAACATCACTTCTGAGTCAGGACAAGGAGGGGAGCGGACGTGTCCGCTCTTCTCCCTCCCCTCTAACAGATGGCGGTGACCTGGTCCAGGGCCCGCAGATGGGCGACAGGTGAGCCTGTGGCTAAAGGTAGAAAGAAACGACCTGCCCGACACCCGGAACTACATGTCTCGGGCGATAGGAATCGAACATCCCTGAATCTAATAGGGTGGGGCAAGTGGTACAAAAGGTTATAACTGGGGGGATGAGCAGATGGAAGTGATAAATGGTTAATTGGAGGCGTGATGGGCTTCTCTGAAGAGATGAGTTTTCAGAGATCGCCTAAAGGCTGTCAGAGTAGGGGATAGCCAGACAGATTAAGGTAGAGGGTTCCAGAGGATGGAAGAGGCTCTGGCGAAGTCCTGGAGACTAGCATGGGAGGAGAAGACAAGGGAGCTTGATAGCAGGAGATCATGAGAGGAGCAGAGAGGACGGTTTGGGTGGTATTTGGAGACAAGATTGGTGATGTAGCCCGGGGCAGTGTTGTGAATGCTTTGTATGTTGTTATTATTTTGAATTTAATTCACTGGGCAGTCAAAGCCAGTGGAGTGATTGGCAGAGAGGGGCAGCGGACACTGAACGGTTGGTAAGGTAGATAAGTATAGCAGTAGCATTCATGATAGACTGAAGAGGGGATAGCCTATGGAGAGGTAGGCCTATGAGAAGGGAGTTGCAATAGTTAAGGCGAGAGATAACAAGGGAGTGAATGAGTAGCTTGGTGGTTTCATTCGTTAAGTGGGGGGCGAATTTTAGAGATGTTACTGAGGTGAAGTCTACAAACTTCTGAGAGTGATTGGATTTGAGGCTGAAAGGATAGGTCAGAGGCCAGTTTTACACCTAGTACCCTGGCTTGAGGGGAGGGACTGATAGTTACATTATTGATCTTGATGGAAAAGTCATGGAGGAGGGCAGGAGCGTGGGGGAATATTATCAGCTCTGTGTTAGAGAGATTTAGTTTAAGGCAGTGGTGCGTCATCCATGCTGATATGTCAGTAAGTTGATAATGCAAGAAAAGAGTGAGGTGAGGAATAGAGAAATAGATTTGGTTGTCATTGTCATAGAGATGGTATTGGAAGCCGTGGGAGGTTATCAGGTGACCAAGAAAGGAGGTGTAGATAGAGAAGAGAAGGGGTCCAAGAACAGACGGACATATTTATATTGGATTTTTCTTTTTTTTTTTTTTTAAGCAGAGGCTCTAGGGAATAAAATGGTGGGTGTTGCATATTTATATGCCACACGATATTTGCACAGCTGTTTTTCAAACTAAATTTTTTGGGCAAAAATACACTTTAGTCAGTTTAAATGCACAAAACCAACATAACATCCATTAGGGTAAAATTATAAAAGATTGTTACGCCGTGAAGCAGAGCCAAACTATGGTACCCAAAAAATCTCCATAGGCGAGACTTTAAAAGCCTTTACAGGTTACCAGTTTAGAATTACAGAGGAGATCTGGCACTAAAATTTTCCCTCGCTCTGATGTTCACGGTGACACCTCACATGTGGTGCAACTGCTATTTCCATATGCTTGTGGGATCTATGTGCACATTCGCATTTGTGCGTGAGCATGGTGGAATGGGCGCATGTTACTTTTTTTTTTTAATTGTGAGAATTTGTTTACACCATATCTTTATTTTTTATTATTTTATTGCTATCAGAACGGATAAAAAACATCCCTTGTAATAGCACGGGCCATGCTCTCTTTATGGAGAGATCTGGGATCTATTAGACCCCATATCGCTCCTCCTGGTCTCCAAAGCATCTGATCAAACATTCAATTTGATCAGATGCTTGTTCAAGCTCGTAACAGCTTGCTTACCTGAGACTGAAACCAGAAGTGATGAAATCCTAATCGCTTTCAGCTATTGACATCACATAGCGTGAAGAACATAATCCGTTCCTCTTATTGTTTCCGCATGCCGCTGGTCGCATCCTTACCGTGCTCCCCGAACACCTAGATATCGCCCTTCCAATCTAGCTACACACCGGTACATCGCTGGACAGGAAGTGGTTATAGACCTGAGGATTCAATGAAGGACATGATAAATTAATTTGTGCTCTATCCGATAGGTTCTGCTTCCCCTCTGGTGGCTAGTGCTGGACTCCAATGCAGTGCAGAGTAAAACCACGACCAAGACACTTCTCAATAGCGAGATGCTCTAGGAAATACCTTTACCACAGCTTTTTTTTTAGATATCTTTGCTTACCTTCTAGAAATCTCTTCAAGTGATCCAGGAAACAGGAGAAGCTCTGGTCGAAATCAAGGTGTACATGAGTTATCTGCTTGTGAACAGTTGGTGGTAGAGTTAGTAAGGAACGAAGACAGCTGGCCTTTTATGAGACTGGTTTCCAAAGCCCAGGTAATATAAATCTGCTGTGTTATTATGGGTATATTTTTTATGCATTGCCAGTTTCATATCAGATTGACTAATTCACTTTGTTTCTTTTCTTGTTGTCCTATATTTTCATTGTGTAGGATAGCTTTTTAATCTGCACCTGAAATTGTCCTGATTTCTCAAAGAAGACCTTTTTTTAAGCAGAGTATTTTTTCTTCTAGGTTCCAGATTACTTTGACATTATCCAGAAACCCATTGCCTTAAATATCATCCGCGAGAAAGTGAACAAATGTGAATACAGTTCTGCAAGTAAGTAATGTGATAAACCCATTGAATATCTCCTGAATTTAGCCTCTAAAAGGCAATACATACCATTTTTGTATACGTTTTGAAGAATAAAAAAAATATGAACTTGCTTTTCTGAAGGTGATATGGCCACTTCCCTGCTAGCTAGCTTATTTGAACCCATGGAGCCCTTTCACACAGGCAGTAGTGTCTGTTCCAATTAGCAGAGGATTCTTGAGCAGATTCCCCTCTGAATTGGAGTAAAATGGAACGTTTTTCACTTGTGACATTTGTGGCTGTTCAGATTTTTACTTTGTGGGAAACAATGGACCCATGTAATCTCTATGGGTGGGTGCATGTAAACAGACTTGCATACACTTGACCTCTGTAAAGTTTTAACCCCTTCATGATCAGGGCATTTTTTTGCTATTCAGCATTGCACTACTAACTTGCAATTGCTCAGTCATTCCACGTTCATATGATCACTGTAACAGCAATGTTTTCAACAGTCATGAATGGGTTACATTCATAACAGATGTGTTTTAGTATTGTGATCATATGGTACATACAGGGCGCTGTGATTGGCCCAGGTACCATGTGATAGTTGTAGGCCAATCACAATACTAGGCACAACTGTGAATGAAACTCATTCATAACCGTTGTTTGGACATTGTGATCATGTGATTGCATAGTGATCATGTGATACCTTGGCCACTCATAGCTGTCAGTTACTGGGATCCACAATCCACTGTAAACACTGGGAGTTGGTGTGCTGCGCACCCCAGTGGGCTCGCCAGTTCTCATGTGCTAAGTGATGTGCTCGTGCCACCCTCCCGCAGTACATGTGCGTGGTCCAGAAGCTGCTAACCATACATTTCTGGGTAAAAGCTAACCAGAGTACAGACTTTTAACATTTGGACCTACAGATCTGGAGTTGGGCATATATATAGGTGAAAGCAAGTACACTTGCATTCGTCCACTCGTATGGATATATTGCTGTCCATTTTGATCCGTGTAAACGCAGGTCAAAAAAACAGGTAAGACTGCCTTGTTTTTGTTTCGGTTTTTTTATTTGGAAAGAGAGAGTCATCAAGTGAGTAGTAAGTACTGCTTTTTTTTTTTTTTTTCTTTTCATCTTGCTGCTGGTCTACTTTTCAGAACTAGTGACAATTAGAGAAACTGCTTTCAAGGGACAACTTGTTTAGTAGGGCATTTAGCTGCAAAAGTGGTTTGTGCTTTAGATGATTTCACATAACACAGGATATTTGTAGATTTTAGTGTCTAGGTCAATCAACTGACATGTGATTTGTATTTATCTTTATAGCTGAATTTATAGAAGATGTTCAGTTAATGTTCCGCAACTGCTTTGAATATAACCAACTCGACAGCAATGAGGCCAAAGCAGGACTCCGGTTGCAATCCTTTTTTGTCAACGAGGCTCAGAAACTTGGCCTAGAAGTTTCTTGTAGCAAGCCGATTATTCCTTCTGGACCCTCCAAAAAGTCACGCATCTGATGTCCTCCGTTTTTGATCATTGAGACTTTGTGGAGTCATGGTTTGCAGTTTCTTTTTTCAGAAAAAGAATTTCCTGCTGAACTGAATCATCAACCATTACTCAGCCGCATAAAGCAATAAGTCCAGCCGTCTTCTAATGACCAAGCACTGATTTCCTACACCACACAGCACTCAGGGTGATTGCAGCAAATAACTGCTAAATAGGGTCCAACCACGTATGTGTATTTTATATAAGTATATATACTGTATATGTATATCAGATTTACAACTGTTTAACTACTGTTGAGCTGTCTTTTTGGGGTTTGGTTATTTTTTTCCTTGTTTATAGCTGGGAGAAAATTGGGTGCAAGCAGGTTGAATCACCCCGCAGATTATTATCTCTTTGGCACAGATTCTTCTACAGCCAAGTTTCATTCATTCCTGTGGCTGGATTCTCATTTTGTTTTCTTTTAATGAGAGAATGCAGCAGCAGGAGTGAGACCTTTGCTTTGCTTTACAGTAAGGGGTAGCTTTTTAAGTAACTGGAGAACCAGAGAGGAAAAAACAGTACCATTAAAAAAAATAGTTGAGTGGACTTACCCCAAACAACACTACTTGAGTAAATTCATTGGGGTATATTTTTGTGGGATGAATTTGAGCGCTGAGAGTATTTTGACTATTCTAGATATTTATTTAGTATTCGAAGAAACTTGTGAATTTTTTTTGGCTTGTATTTATGAAACTTTTGTACCTGAAGTTAAAGTATTTGTTAAGTAAAATGTTTTCCATGTCTTAAAACAAACAAAAAAAAGTTTCTACTTTTTTCATGAGGCTGAAAGCTCTTACACAATTACGTCTTTTTTTTTTTTTTTTTTTTTTTTTTCACGTTCAGATACCGGTGTGAAAAGAAATAAAAGTGTTACGTAATTCTATTCAAAATGGGTGTTTGAGTTAAGATTCTCTTGTGTTGTCTTTTTTTGTTTTTTTTTTGCTATTATTCCTGGGATCAGCTTCTTGTAAATCCCTTAGACTAGAAGTAGAGGCAGTACTAGGAGCCAGTCAAGTGTGCTTTCATACACACATGCTGACAAGAGGAGTAAGCAGAGAGTTGAACTCGGTCTGATGTTGCTCCTTCATTGTCCAGTCACAGGCTTTGGGCAGGGAAGTGACCTGTCTGTAGTGCTTAGTTAAATACAGAAACTAAAAAAAAAAAAAAAAAACCTGGGTTATTGCAGAGCATTTGACCAGGGGTGCCATGTCATGTGGGAGAGACAGTCCTCAACCCTGTGAAGTATCTGAACAGAGCAACTCTGAGCCTATACAGGGCTTCCTTGCTCCAAATTACTGTAAGCACGGCAGTAAAGTGAATGGAAAATACTTAGCATATGCTGCTGAGGAGGGGGCATTACATTGAAGGGGTTGCTGTATGGGCAAAGCACAGGTTCACTTTAAAGCTGAACTCCAGTTAAAATTCTTTTCATATTTAGTTTTAGATATAGTTAGAAGTTTAAGAATCTCAATTGTTTGTACCAGTTGAAGAGACTTCCTCATTTCTGACACACTTTCATTCTGAAGGGAAATTAAGGGAAGTCTTCCCATGGAGGAAATCTGCACCTGGTACACTCTGTGTAATAGCCAATGCATGGCACTGATTTCAACAGCTGTTAATCAGCAAACAGTACTAGCACATCAAACTGATCAATAAACACTTTTTTTTTTTTTTGTCCAAGCCATAAGCTGTCTTTCAGTTACATATAAGGGCTCCTATTGAGCAGTGGGTGTGTTTTTTATATGACTTTTCACTGATTATCTCCCCATTTTAACATAGACATTCTTTGCATGGACTTTGACTTTAATGCCCCTGTTCAGTCAAAAGGAAGTCATTTTGCGATTTGCTTGCAATCTCTGGGAGGCAAGGTGGCTACACAAGACACAGTAATTGGCCAGAGGCTATAGTGCCACCAAAGCAATTAAACCCTGAGAGCCTTGAAAAAGATGTTGGCAGAAAATTATACAAAGCTCATTGTGAGCTTTGTGACATTTTGAACATTGTCAATATTTCCTGGATAGTACCAGCAGTTTCTTGCATAAAATATCAATCAAGTGTCTAATTTAAACCAAAACAATCAACATAAACATCTCTTAATAAGTGTCCATGCATTGGTATTCTATATGGTTGTATATCTTCACAGATGCTTGAATAGCAGATAACTTCTTAGAACACCTCGTGCGATTATACACTGCAAACCAACGTGTGTACTCCCCCACATGATTGGACAGCACGGAGACACTCACCTGCTCCACATGTGAAAAATCCTGGAAATCGTGTACAGAACAAGACAAAAGCCCGGTCTACTGGCAACTCCCAACTCCATGCTCTCCTGCCTGACTGCACCACAACTTGCTCCGCCCTCTGGCAGCTGGTGTTGTACCCAGGATTTTTCACTTTGCTGGCTGTTGTCACATGCGGAGCTGGTGAGAGTGTCTTTGTGCCGTCCGATCATTCCCCCTGATGAAGCCATGTTACCCAGTGGCGTAACGCGTAGGGGAGGAGCTTTGTCGTCACAACACTCGTAGGATAGGAGAGAGCTGTACAGCTGGTGGCAGATAAGCGGTTGGAGGATCCATACCAGTAGCAGTGCCTTTTTGGAGTTACTTTGTAAGACGCAATATTATACATCATTCATGTGAGTGGAATACTGGATATTGTTTTTTATCAATAAATGTTTTGAAAGGATGAAGCACTATGTTTTGGTCATCTATTTGGCATTTATCTGATGGAGGAGGACAGCTAGCAGAGTGGAGGAGACTCATGCTTATTGGACATCTCGGACATCTTATATCAGTCCACATAAGGGACACATGCTATATATGATCTCACTTAGCGGTTTGGTCATATACACCAGGTGAGAGCACATCCGGAGGTGGTGTACACACATTGGTTTGCAGTGTATAATCGCACAAGGTGTTCTAAGAAGTTATTTGCTATTCAAGCATCTGTGAAGATATACAACCATTTAGAATACCAACACATGGATGCTTATTAACCGCTTCCGCACTGCCCTATAGCAGAAATACTGCTACAGTGTGGCACGGGTGCGCAAAATCACGTGTATATATACGTGATTTTGCAGTTCTGGGTAGGGGGCGCACGTGAGCCCTATCTGCACCTCCATTCGCTGCCTCTGCTGTCCTGACCAGTGATTTCTCGCTGGCACCCTGTGATCACCAAGTATCTCCAACGTGGTAGAGATCTGTGTATAAACAACACAGATCTCTCCCCTGTCAGCTCCTGCACACTGCTTTGTATGGCTCTGCAGAGCCATACAAAGCAGTGTGCTTACAGTGGAAAGCACAGACACCACATACTGTGAAACAGCACAGTTAACCCTCCTGTCCAGTGCCATTAGTACAGTATCAGTGCTTTTTATGAGCACTGTTCACTGTAATGGTGTCACTGGGGATGTCAGTGACACAAAGTCAGTTCCCCCCCAGTATCGGAATGCCCTCTGCAGTCCTTCTACAAGTTGCTGATTGCCGCCACCATTACTAGTAAACACTATAACATTCACATAAACCAATTAATTTACATGTATTGAGATTTTTTTTTTCAGCAAAGACATGTAGCAGAATACATTTTGACCTAAATTTATGCTGAAATTTGATTTTTACAATTTTTTTACTGGACGTTTAACCATTTGCCCTCCAGAAGATTTACCAGGCTGACCAGGCTTTTTTTTTTGTTACGGCGCTGCGATATTTTAACTGACAATTGCACGGTCATGCAACGCTGCACCCAGATGAAATTTACGCCCTATTTTTCCCACAAATAGAGCTTTCTTTCGCTGGTATTTGATCACCTGTGTGTTTTTTTTTTTTTTGAGTTTTGGAAAAAAAAAAAAAGCCATTTTGAGTAAAAAACTATATTGTTGACTTTTTGCTATTCAACATGTCCAGTAAAAAAAATTTTAAATCAAACTTCATCATAAATTTAGGCCAAAATGTATTCTTCTCTACATGTCTTTGCTAAGAAAAAAAAAAAAAAAATCCCAATACGTATAAATTAATTGGTTTATGTGAAAGTTATAGTGTTTACAAATGGCGGTATAGATACTGGAATTTTATATATATATTTTTTTTTTACTAGTAATGGTGATCAGCGACTTATAGCGGGACTGCGGCGGGCATTCTGACACTGGGGGGAACTGACTTGGTATCACTGACATCCCCAGTGACACCAGTACATTGATCAGTGCTAATAAAAAGCACAGAAATTGTACTAATGGCACTGGGCAGGAAGGGGTTAACATCTGGGGCAATCAAACGGTTAACTGCGTGCTGTGTTTTACTGTGTTTTGTGTGTGTGCGCGTGTCACTGTAAGTACACTGCTTTGCCATACAAAGCAGTGTGCTGGAGCCAACGGGAGAGAACTGTATTGTTTACATACAGTTCTCTCCCCCTCACCCGTTGATATTACTCAGCGATCACCGGGTGCTGGCGAGTAATCACAGTCCGGGACCCGGTGATTGGCAGCCAAGGCTGCAAATAGCGTGGGTAGGGCTTGTGAGCGCCCCCTACCCGGAAATGCAAAATCACATACTGTATATACGTGATTTTGCACACCCCTGCTGCCCTGTAGCAGTATTCCTGCTATAGGGCGGCGGTAAAGCAGCTAATAGCAAAATATCAAAAATATATGGTTTTTTTTTCCCTCAAAATTGTCGGTCTTGTTCTGTTTATAGCACAAAAAATTAACCACTTGAGCTCCAGAGGATTTACCCCCCTTAATGACCAGGCCAGGCCCTTTAATGACCAGGCTACTCGGCGCTGCACTAATTTAACTGATAATTGCGCGGTCATGCAATGCTGCACCCAAACTAAATTTACGTCCTTTTTTCACACAAATAGAGCTTTCTTTCGGTGGTATTTGATCATCTGTGCGCTTTTTATTTTTGTCGCTATAAACAAAAAAAGGCCAAAAATTTTGAAGAAAAACAATATTTTTTATTTTCAGCTATAAAAAATATATAGTAAACTCAAAGTTGGTTATAAATTTAGGGCAAAATGTATTCTGCTACATGTTTTTGGTAAAAAAAATCCCAATAAGTGTATATTGATTGCTTTGTGTGGAAGTTATAGCGTCTACAAACTATGGTATAAATACTGCAACTTACGCCATTTTTCTGCTATACAGCGCTGCGCTAGTTTAACGGACAACTGCGCGATCATGCAATACGGTACATAAATGAAATTTACATCCTTTTTTTTCCCCACAAATTGAGCTTTCTTTTGGTGGTATTTGATCGCCTGTGCGGTTTTTATTTTTTGCGCTATAAAAAAAAAGGCTGACAATTTTGAGGAAAAAAAAACAATATTTTGGACTTTTTGCTATAAAACATGTCCAGTAAAAAAAAAAAAATGCAAAAATCAAATTTAGTCATAAATTTCTGCCAAACTGGATTCTGCGACATGTCTTTGCTAAAAAAAAAAAAAAAATAATAATGCCGGCGATCAGTGAATTATGGCAGCGACCAGCGACTTATGGCGGGACTGCGGCGGACATTCTGACATTGGGGGGTACTGACTTGGGGTCACTGACATCCCCAAAAACACTAATACAGTGATCAGTGCAAAAAGAAAAACACTGACACTGTACTAATGGCACTGGGGAGGAAAGGGTTAACTTTATTTTGCAGGGAAGGGTTATCTGAGTGAGGGGGAGTGTTTTACTAGGGGGCGGGGGTGTGTGCTGCACAGGACACCGCTGATCGAGAGAGAGAAACTCTTCTGTCTTGATCAGCTTGTCCTCGAGCTGACAAGGAAGTGACAGACAGCACAGCTACTGCAGCTGTGCCGTCCTCTCTGTCACTGTTTACCGCCAATAGCCGGGAAACAGCCGCTAAGGACCGGCTGTGACCCGGCGACTGACATCCGCGGCGGTGATCGGCGGGACAGAGCGCGGTGGCGCGCCTCGCGCGCGCCCCCCCTATTTACAAAACACACGTTTTAAAAATGTGCCTGCTAGTGCCACCCTGCCGCTGTATATCTACAGTGGCTGGGCGGCAAGTGGTTAAAAATGTACAGGCGATTAAATACCACCAATAGCTCTATTTTTGGGGGAAAAAAGTATGTGAACTTAATTTGGGTGCAGTGTTGCATGACCGCACAATTGTCAGTTAAAATAACGCAGTGCCGTAATGCAAAATTGGCCTGGTCGGGTGGGGGGGGGGGGGGGGGGGTGCGGGTAGGTAAATCCTCAAGAGGGCAATTGGTTAAGAGATGTTTGTTATGGTGTAAATTAGAAGTGAAGTGTCGCACTTGATTGATATTTTATGTTCTATAACACATTTTGTATGTGAATAGTGTGAGCTATTCACAATTTTATTTTATTTTTCGTGTATTATTTTGTATCACTATTCAGCATAGCAGCTCACATGATTCTGCACTTTATACATTGTAGCAGGTTCCTGCATGTTTGTCTATCAAAATATTTTATATTTTGAATATAAAACAATTATTAGGGCCAAGAAACAATAGGCAGTGACAATCCCCAGTGAATAGAACCACACAGCCAGTACGTAGCAATACTTGTCTTTGTGATCTGTCGGTGCACAGGTGGCAGGAGAAGCGTGTAACATGCATGTTGCAATATCTTCGGATTCTGCTAACCTAGTAGCTCTCCTCCTTCTGAGCATGTGCAGTGGCTTTTACAGGTCATAGGAGATGAAACCGACTTCCATATAAGGAAACTGGCACTCTACAGCCTTGAGAGATGATCTCTGTAACATCACAGCTCCTCTATGGAAAGTTTAAGATGTTTCCAATGGAGACTGGAAAAAACAAGCCCTGTGTATAAAACATACAGGCCTGCTGGCTGCGTACTCTTATAAAAAAGTTTTTTTTTTTCCAGGTCACGGATTAGAGTTGTCAAATTTATCAAAACCAAAGTGATTTTAAAATCTGGATGACAGCAGCTTTGTAAGACCACAAAGGCTATGCAGGAAAGTATGATTTTACACACCAGATGTTCTACTCACCCTTCACCCAAAAGAAAGTCAGATCTAAACACACACACCAGTATGTAGTTGTCCATTTATTCTAGAGGGAGTGTAAAACAGCAGAAAAGTGTACTTTATTCTTAGTTTCTCAGACACCCGGCTCTATCATTTGCTCTAGATATGTGGGTGAGCCCCTCAGCATCCTCGCATTGTAAGTGATGACATCAGGTTGCAAACACGTGACCAGTGAAGAGGAAAGGCATTGCGGGATCGGTTGTACAGCAGGCAGAAATAAGGTAAAGAGTTCTGCTTATTCCTTACCCCCTAGACTAAACAAGTGTTTAACTCTTGCTCTTGAATGTGGGGGGCACTACATATTCTTTTTTTAAATGATTCAGATTTAATTTTGCTTGTCTGTTTAATGAATAAATTATAAAAAGTTAGGGTAATAATGCTGCAAAGAAAGTAAATCTAGTTGCTTTCCATGACAAAGGATTCTCAGAGCACAATGGGTTGCTTCCTTTCAGGCTTCTTCTGTATATGGGGGAGGGGGAGTTACTGCTCTGATTCTTTCCTTGTGTGAGTGTAAATGTCATTGTGCATTGTTAAGTTCTATTAACTGGCTCTTTGCCAATATGTACTGCGATGCTGGAGATGGGACAAGAAGTCTGAGGATTCACATGGCAGTTTCATAAATGAATACATTATATGCCTATGCAATTTTTGTGTTTTTTTTTTTTTTTTTTAACAAGTGTCCAATCACCTGCAGATACCTGCCTAACACTCATCTCTAAATCTGTCTGTCCTGCCCTGTAAGATCACGGCATTTGCATATCTACATTGATCTGAGGTGGCCCAATAGTAATGCAATTAATATAATCCCTGAAGTTCAATGTTAACCCTTATGATGCCACCAATGTATGTCATGAGTCGGAGATTTTATACACATTGCCAGTAAATCTGACATGCCAACTGTAAACCCTCAAGTAGAAGTTAATGGGCGGCATCGTTTCCAAAGACTTCTGATAGTGCACCCCCCCCCGCCTTAGTGGGTGTTGCCAGGTAGAGGGGAGGGAGACCAAGGAACGTCTGCTGATCTCCCCTACCTAGAATGAACAAGGAAGTGACGTGCATTACTTCACTTTTCCCAGCCACAAGCTAATGTAGAGCGATTTGAACTCCATTCACTTCAGTGGAGGGCAGGTGAGACATCAAGGGTCTAATAGACTTCTGATAGCAAACTGGTAACACATAGGAGACTTTTGATCTCCTATGTGATAAAAAAAAAAGTAAAATAGAGTTGGGTATAGAAAAAAAGTGTAAAAAAATTATTTACATCAAAGTGCTAACCCCCACCCTCCAAAAAAAATGTAAGCCCATCCTGCCCCCAAGTACACACACACCAACATAAACACATCTAGGGTCAGGCTATGCATGAAAATACTGTATAAGTGATGCTACACATACAGATGGGCAGCACAGTGGCACTGGCAGTAATAGGGTGGTTGGTTTGAATCCCAGTCACGGCACCACCTGCCTGGAGTTTGCATGTTTCCCTGTGCCTGCGTGGGTTTCCTCCCACTTTCCAAAGATATGCTGGTAGGTTAATTACTTCAAGTTCGGACACTTTTACCCCCTTCCTGTCCAGGTCAATTTTCAGCTTTCAGCGCCATCACACTTAGAATGACAATTGCATTTTTTTGAGACAGATAAAGCTTTATTTTGGTGGTATTTATTCACCACTGGGATTTTTATTTGTTTTGCTATATAAATGAAAAAGTCCAAACATTTTGAAAAAAGTGTTTTTCTTATAAACTATTGCAAATAAATATTTCATCATAAATCTTGGCTAAAATTTATTCAGTTATCTTTTAGTAAAAAAAAAACCCAAAATAACCCAAATTAGTTTATAACCAAAAATTATAATTTTTAAAAACAAATTTTTTTTTACATTTTTATTTTATTTTTTTATATTTTATGGGTTTGTTTTTTTTACATACTGTCACCCTAGCAGTACAGTGTTACCATGGTGACACTGTACTACTTGTGGGGGGTGATGAAGATTTTTTTTTTATACACTGATTGCTTTTACACCCATAAAGGCTGTAAAAGAAATCATTTCTCCTTCTCTCTGGCTACATTCTTCCAGCCATTGAGAACTACTGTGTGAGCTGTGATTGGTCACAGCTTGTCACATGGCCTTGTACCATGTGATCTCTGATCATTCACAGATTTCACATGTAAGCAATGATGTCAGAAGTGACATGCTTACTACTCTGCATGTGATCACTGATTGGCCAATCAGTGATCACATGATCGGGACCTCGCAGAGCGGTCCCGAACGACAATCGGTGTTCCACTGTGTCCGGAGGACACAGAGGGCACCAGATCGCGGTGCTGCATGTATCCAGAGAGCGCGTACCGTCCAGAATGGTAGGCGCTGTTTTATCAACTGCAATCCGCCCCTGTCTAAATTGACCCTATTATGTGTATGTATAAATTTGAGTTCGGGACCTTAGATTGTACACCCCCCTGAGGGTTAGGTAGGGACTGATGTAAATGTACAATATATATGTAATGCGCTACTTAAATTGACGGCGCTATATACAGTGGGGCAAAAAAGTATTTAGTCAGCCACCAATTGTGCAAGTTCTCCCACTTAAAAAGATGAGAGAGGCCTGTAATTAGCATCATAGGTAGACCTCAACTATGAGAGACAAAATGAGAAAAAAAATCCAGACAATCACATTGGCTGATTTGGAAAGAATTTATTTGCAAATTATGATGGAAAATAAGTATTTGGTCAATATCAAAAGTTCATCTCAATACTTTGTTATATATCCTTTGTTGGCAATGACAGAGGCCAAACATTTCCTGTAAGTCTTCACAAGGTTGGCACACACTGTTGCTGGTATGTTGGCCCATTCCTCCATGCAGATCTCCTCTAGAGCAGTGATGTTTTGGGGCTGGGCAACACGGACTTTCAACTCCCTCCAAAGGTTTTCTATGGGGTTGAGATCTGGAGACTGGCTAGGCCACTCCAGGACCTTGAAATGCTTCTTACGAAGCCACTCCTTCGTTGCCCGGGCGGTATGTTTGGGATCATTGTCATGTTGGAAGACCCAGCCACGTTTCATCTTCAATGCCCTTGCTGATGGAAGGAGGTTTGCACTCAAAATCTCACGATACATGGCCCCATTCATTCTGTCCTGTACATGGATCAGTCGTCCTGGTCCCTATGCGGAGAAACAGCCCCAAAGCATGATGTTGCCACCCCCATGCTTCACAGTAGGTATGGTGTTCTTTGGATGCAACTCAGCATTCTCTCTCCTCCAAACACGACGAGTTGTGTTTCTACCGAACAGTTCTATTTTGGTTTCATCTGACCATATGACATTCTCCTAATCCTCTTCTGGATCATCCAAATGCTCTCTAGCAAACTGCAGACGGCCCCGGACATGTACTGGCTTAAGCAGGGGGACACGTCTGGCACTGCAGGATCTGAGTCCCTGGCGTAGTGTGTTACTGATGGTAGCCTTTGTTACGTTGGTCCCAGCTCTCTGCAGGTCATTCACTAGGTCCCCCCGTGTGGTCCTGGGATTTTTGCTCATCGTTCTTGTGATCATTTTGACCCCACGGGGTGAGATCTTGCGTGGAGCCCCAGATCGAGGGAGATTAGCAGTGGTCTTGTATGTCTTCCATTTTCTAATTATTGCTCCCACAGTTGATTTGTTCACACCAAGCTGCTTGCCTATTGCAGATTCAGTCTTCCCAGCCTGGTGCAGGTCTACAATTTTGTTTCTGGTGTCCTTTGACAGCTCTTTGGTCTTCACCATAGTGGAGTTTGGAGTGTGACTGTTTGAACTTGTGGACAGGTGTCTTTTATACTGATAACAAGTTCAAACAGGTGTCATTGATACAGGTAATGAGTGCAGGACAGAGGAGCCTCTTAAAGAAGAAGGTACAGGCCTGTGAGAGCCAGAAATCTTGCTTGTTTGTAGGTGACCAAATACTTATTTTCTACCATAATTTGCAAATAAATTCTTTCCAAATCAGCCAAAGTGATTGTCTGGATTTTTTTTCTCATTTTGTCTCTCATAGTTGAGGTCTACCTATGATGCCAATTTACAGGCCTCTCTCATCTTTTTAAGTGGGAGAACTTGCACAATTGGTGGCTGACTAAATACTTTTTTGCCCAACTGTAAGTACCTGAAATAAATACATACATGTTGCACATGTGGAAGTGTGCACAATCGTTTTACAGTCAATATTTAAACTCTAATGATATTTAGGGTGCTTTTAAAGCGTCACCTATGGTTCATTTTAGGAGCTGAAGTTCGTTTCCTGGCTGTATGCAATTTATCCCTAGTTACTTAACACAAGCTCATCTTTTATATTTTACCAAAAAATGGGTAATATATTGTGTTTGTCCTAAAATTAACTAAACATTTGTGCTTAACTACTTGCCCTGCAGAGGATTTACCCCCCTTGCTGACTAGGAAGGAACCCTTTTTAATCCGAGTATAGCATCAAGTCAATTAAACTCCAGGTATATTAATCTGGTCAGTTAAGTAGCAGAGGGCGTTGTTAATCAGTTTCAGCTGCTTTGGTGTTAATGAAATTAACAACAGATGCACTAGATGGGCAATACTGAGACAACCCCCAAAACAGGAATTGTTTTATAGGTGGAGGCCAATGACATTTTTTTTCCCTACTCTTTTCTGCTGTTTCACACTAGCTTTGCATTTGGCTAGGGTCAGTGTCACTACTGGTAGCATTAGGCGATACCTGGACCCTACAGAGGTTGTGCAGGCAGCCCAACTCCTTCAGGATGGCACATCAATACGTGCCATTGCCAGAAGGTTTGCTGTGTCTCTCAGCACAGTCTCAAGAACATGGAAGAGATTCCAGGAGACAGGCAATTACTCTAGGAGAGCTGGGCAGGGCTGTAGAAGGTCCTTAACCCTCCAGCAGGCCACTGATGTGAATATGTGAAATTAGCCCTTGGCTAATTGCGTCACTTCTGGTTTGGAGTGCATTGGCGTTCCGGAATACATTGGTTTTAAAGTGCCCACATACGGTACACCTGTAAGTGCAATTTTATATGTATGTTAAATACAAATAGACCGTATAACCAGGGGTGTGGACATTTTTGAAAAAAAAATACTTGTCCAGGGACTAAATCGGTGATATTAGGAATGTCTGGGGCTTTGAAAAACAAAAGGGGCTTTATGGTGACTTAAACGTTTAACCACTTGCCCTCCAGAGGATTTACCCCCCTTCCTGACCAGGCCATTTTGTGCTGTTCAGCATTGTGCTATTTCAACTGGTAATTGCGCGGTCGTGCAATGCTGTACCCCAAATGAAATTTATGTCCTTTTTTCACAAAAATAGAGATTTCTTTTGGTGGTATGTGATCACTTCTGCGGTTTTTACCTTTTGCACTATAAACCAACAAAAACGCAAATTTTGAAAACGTTTTTTTTTACTTTTTTTTTTTTTCATCACATAGGGGACAAAGTCTGCTATGTGATTTTTTTGGTGACAGGTTCTCTTTATTGAGGCATCCAGGGTCCAAAGGTCTCCCCCTGTGCTCCACTGAATATAATGCAGTGCACATCGCACCACATTACATTTTTTCCATGCCCGGGCATCTCTCTGAAGGGGGGGACCCCATGCAATTTTTTTAATTGCTGCCAATTCTTTCTTTTACATTCAGCTGTCAGTGGGGAACCCCGCTGACAGCTGAAACATTAACGCATGGTTTTCGCTACTAAAATACGCATGACTTGATAAAATAACTCATGCGGTATTTTAGTAGCGTTTTTTAGTGAATTCAAATTTATTTATTTTTTTTTTAAATATTATATATAGTACACGGATGCGGAAAGATACCGCTTACAGATGTCTATGTAAATCGCACCAAAAGTAGTACATGAACTACTTTAGAAATCGGTGCAGCTCCGACCAAGTCGGAACCGCACCGATATGACTGCTCCAATTGCGGACAATAGGGTGTGACTTGGCATACGATTTGCAAGTCGCATGACATACAAATTGTACCTGATGTGATCGGGGTGTAAGTATCTGTGTATAAATAGTCTAGGAGTTTTTTGTTTGTTTTTTTTTTAGCTCTCACATGGATACACTGAGCAGGCTAGATACTGAGCCATGGGGAGCAAAAAGGAACTGTCAAAAGTCCTGCGTAACAAGGTAATGGAACTTTAGATAGATGGAAAGGGAAATAAAAAGATACCCAAAACCTTGAATATACCAGTCAGTGCTGTTCAATCACTTATTATTTAGAAAATTCAGAGATTATTATCAAGCCAAGGTCATCTTGTGTGTCTATACCAAGGCTAAACATTCCAGGGTATGTTAACTTTTGATCAGAGCCATTTTGGTGATTTCTGTTGTTATGATTTAAAAAGGAAACAAACAACTATGTGATCATAAATGGCTTCATGTGATCACTCTCCTTAACCACTTCAATACCGGGTACTTTTACCCCCTTCCTGCCCCAGACCAATTTTCAGGTTTCAGCGCTCTCACACTTTGAATGACAATTGCGCAGTCACACAACATTGTACCCAAACTAAAATTTTATAATTTTACTCACACAACTAGAGCTTTCTTTTGGTGGTATTTAATCACTACTGGGGTTTTTATTTTTTGCTAAATTAACAAAAAAAGATCGAAAATGTTGAAAAAAAACCCATGTTTTTCTTTGTTTCTGTTATAAAAGTTTGCAAATAAATAATTGTTCTTCATAAATTTAGGCCAAGATGTATTCTACATGTGTTTGGTGTAAATAATCCAAATCAATATAATTGCTTGAGGGCCGAAAATGTCAGAACAGTCCAGATATCCCCCAAATTACCTCTTTTTGCAAAGTTTACAGTCTGATGTATTTCATAAGAGGAATGGTAAGTTTTTTGAAGTTGTAATTATTTTGGCATTTTTTTGGAAAATGAAGAAATTAAAAAAATTATTTCACAAATTGTTTTTACACACTGACTGGTGACAGTATGAAAACAAATTGATAATTTTTTTCAATTTTCTTTTCATTTTTTACATTTTTTTATAAAAAAAATTTCTCTTTATTTAAGATTTCTTTTTCAAATTACACTATGACCAAAGTAGTATAATGTTACCATAGTAACATTGTACTACTTTGGGGAAGTGATCAGTATTTTTTTTTTTTTTTTTTACACAATTTGATTGCTTATAGCAAAGAATTTATTTGCTATAAGCAAGCATTTAACTAAATGAAATCAATTCCTTCAGGTTTTTTGTTGTGATTAGCTGTGAGTGGCAACGGCTATTCACATGACAGAGATGGGCTGTGATTGGCCCAGCCTGTGCATGTGCTCACTGTGACCATTCACAGCTAGACACACTTGTATAAAATAGATGGCATGTTTACAACTGTCATGTGACCTGCTGTGATTGGTCACAGCAGGTTACATGGTACTGGCAACGGGGCCGGTACACAGATATGTCATCAGTCATGTGACAGATCTCGCCACAGCGCTGCCCTGCGTCGGATCGACGAGAGGCCTGCCCGGCCGTCCTTTTACTATAGGATGGGCGGGAAGTGGTTAAACAAAAGGTTTTTTTGGCATGATTAGTCATATTTTCAATACCAATGCCAAAATGATCTCTGCCAGGGAATGCAAACTGTTGACCACAACTGAGAGATACTGTGTATATACAGTATCTCACAAGTGAGTACACCCCCTCACATTTTTGTAAATATTTTATTATATCTTTTCATGTGACAGCACTGAAGAAATGACACTTTACTACAATGTAAAGTAGTGAGTGTACAACTTGTATAACAGTGTAAATTTGCTGTCCCCTCAAAATAACTCAACACACAGCCATTAATGTCTAAACCGCTGGCAACAAAAGTAAATACACCCCTAAGGGAAAATGTCCAAATTGGGCACAATTAGCCATTTTCCTTCCCCGGTGTCATGTGACTATTTAGTGTTACAAGGTCTCAGGTGTGAATGGGGAGCAAGTGTGTTAAATTTGATGTTATTGCTTTCTCTCATACTGGTCACTGTAAGTTCAACATGACACCTCATGGCAAAGAACTCTGAGGATCTGAAAAAAAGAACTGTTGCTCTACATAAAGATGACCTAGGCTATACGAAGATTACCAAGACCCTGAAACTGAACTGCAGCACAGTGCCCAAGACCATACAGCGGTTTAACATGACAGGTTCCACTCAGAACAGGCCTCGCCATGGTCGACCAAAGAAGTTGATTGCACGTGCTCAGCATCATAGCCAGAGGTTGTCTTTGGGAAATAGACATATGAGTGCTGCCAGCATTGCTGCAGAGGTTGAAGGGGTGGGGTGGGGGGGGGGTCAGCCTGTTAGTGCTCAAACTATACGCCGTGCATTTCATCAAATTGGTTTGCATGGCTGTCGTCCCAAAAGAAAGCTTCTTCTAAAGATGATGCACAAGAAAGCCCGCAGTTTGCTGAAGACAAGCAGGCTAAGGATATGGATTACTGGAACCATGTCCTGTGGTCTGATGAGACCAAGATAAACTTATTTGGTTCAGATGGTATAAAGCGTGTGTGGCGGCAACCAGGTGAGGAGTACAAAGACAAGTGTGTCTTGCCTACAGTCAAGCATGGTGGTGGGAGTGTCATGGTCTGGAGCTGCATGAGTGCTGCCAGCACTGGGGAGCTACAATTCATTGAGGGAACCATGAATGCCAAATCTCTAAACTGCTGGCAACAAAAGTGAGTACACCCCTAAGTGAAAATGTCCAAAGTCTCAATATTGTGTGTGGCCACCATTATTTTCCAGCATGTCTTAACCCTCTTGGGCATGGAGTTCACCAGCGCTTCACAGGTTGCCACTGGAGTCCTCTTCCACTCCTCCATGACGACATTACAGAGCTGGTGGATGTTAGAGACTTTGCGCTCCATCTTCTGTTTGAGAATGCCCCGCAGATGCTCAATAGGGTTTAGGTCTAGAGACATTCCTGGCCAGTCCATAACCTTTACCCTCAGCTTCTTTAGCAAGGCATTAGTCATCTTGGAGGTGTGTTTGGGGTCGTTATCATGTTGGAATACTGCCCTGCGGCCCAGTCTCGGAAGGGAGGGGAACATGCTCTGCTTCAGTATGTCACAGTACATGCTGGCATTCATGGTTCCTTCAATGCCAAAAGTATTGGGACGCCTGCTTTTACACGCACATGGACTTTAATGGCATCCCAGTCTTAGGCCATAGGGTTCAATATTGAGTTGGCCCACCCTTTGCAGCTATAACAGCTTCAACTCTTCTGGGAAGGCTGTCCACAAGGTTTAGGAGTGTCTATGGGAATGTTTGACCATTCTTCCAGAAGCGCATTTGTGAGGTCAGGCACTGCTGTCAGATGAGAAGGTCATTTAAGGGAAAAAATAAGCCAATTAGAAAATAACCAGAAAAAGATGATCTTTAGGATGGAAGTTCAAGAAAATAAAGAAAGAAGGTGTAATCTTAGAATACGAGGATCCCAGAGACTGCTAAAGGGGAAATACTATATGAACTAGTTAAAAAAAATCCTAAACTCCATAAGAGATAAACCGGAATCTGACGGGATCGGTTTGAACGGAGTGTTTAGGGTAGGAAAGTTCAAACGGGCTACTGAGAAGGAAAGACCGAGGGACATAATTGTCCAGTTCCAAAATTTTGGGGTCAAAGACGAGATTTGGAAGAAGATCAAGGGAAGATCATTAATTAAGTTTGGAGACTTGACTATCCAAATCTATGCGGACTTAACAGTAGAGACCCTAAGGAGAAGGAGATCCCTGAAACCCTGTTGGAGCAAATGAGAAAACAGAATGTGCAGTATAGATGGGGTACCTCAGCATTTCTAATTGGCTGGAAAAATGGGGTCACAGCGTATCTGAGATTTCCGGATGAATTAAGAGATTTCTGTGAAAGACTGGACTTGCAAAGAATGGAGATAGCTGGGTGGGAAGAAGAAAAAGAAGACAAAGGAAACACAAAATGTTATAAGAAAAGAGGACTGGCAGCAGGTCGGGGTGAGGGAGGCCTCGGGGTTGGGGAGGGAGGAGAGGGAGAATTAAGTAGAAAATGATTTTTTTTTTTTTCTCTCTCTTACTTCCCCCTCTCGCCCCTGGTCTTCCCCCTCCGGATGTTGAGACCCGCTTGGAGGCTCCGGTTAAGGGAGGGAGGTACAGAGTAAAGACTCTTGTTGAGTCTAGATGATAGAGAGAGGGAATCGGGGGGGTTGGAGGAGAGGTGAGCCGTACATAGGCGGAGCTGACGCCCCAAATTTTAAATCAATGGTGGAAATAGATCCACAAATGATTTGTAGGCAGTTTATAGGCCTAAAAACGGGTAGGGGGAAAAGAAGAGGGGGTGGGGGGTGGGAGGGAGGGGGGGAGGGGTGGGGGTGGGAGGGAGGGAGGGAGGGGGGAGGAGGTATTGGGTCAATACGTCAGTGGTATTTTTACAGGAGACGCATTTTGAGATAGAGGCAAATGTGAATGAAATCCAAATACTATCCAACATGGTACTATGCAGATTCTCCAATTAAAAGAGCAAAAGGGGTTGCAATAGGTTTGGCAAAGAATATGAGATTTGAGCTGGAGGATAGAAGAACCGACCCGGAGGAGAGGTTTTTATTCTTAAAAGGTAGACTTCAGGGGATTGAGTGTACTTTAGCCAATATATACTGCCCCAATAAAAACTCGGAGATGTATATGAAGGGTCTGTTGAAAAAATTAATGGAATTTAAAAAAGGGCGCTTGATAGTAGCTGGAGACCTAAATTTCTGTATGGACCCACAAAAGGATAATACCTCTTCCGTGCAAAGAGAGGGGAGTAGGTCTCTGAGAGCTCTGAAAAAAGTGATGCATGAATACCAACTAGTGGATACTTGGAGAATAACGCATATGAAAGACAGAGACTATACCTTCTTCTCTAATGCACATGAGATATACTTGAGATTAGATTACATCTTAATAGAACATCAATTTATAGATCATCTGGTAAAAATTGACATAGAGACAAGGACGTTCTCGGATCATGCTCCGGTCGTGATGAAGATGGGATGGGGAAGAAGGTGGACTGGAGGATTAGGGTGGAGGTTAAATGAGGTTCTTCTTCTGGATGAGGATGTAGTTCAGAAAATCGAGAAAGAGATTAAGGTATACTTTAACCACTTCCCGACCGGCCGTTGTATATAAACGGCCGGACGGTGGCACTGCAGGGTCGGGTGGCCGTCTATAAACGGCCTCCCCGCACCCTGCTTGTGCGCAGCACCGCGATCCGGTGCCCGCTGTGTCCTCCGGACACAGTGAAACACCGATCGTCGGACGGGACCTCTGTACGAGGTCCCGATCATGTGATCACTGATTGGCCAATCAGTGATCACATGCAAAGTAGTAAGCAAGATGTCACTTCTGACATCATTGCTTACTATGTGTGAAATCTGTGAATGATCACAGAGGTCACATGGTACAAGGCTATTCACAAAAGCCTTGTACCATGTGACAAGCTATGACCAATCACAGCTCACTCAGTTTTTTTTCAATGAGTGCAAGAATGCACACAGAGAGAAAGAGAAAATGATTGCTTTTATATCCTATATGGGTGTAAAAGCAATCAGTGTCAAAAAAAAAAAAAAAATCTTCATCACCCCTCACAAGTAGTACAGTGTCACCATGGTGACACTGTACTGCTAGGGTGACAGTATGTAAAAAAAATAAATAAATAAAAAAAAAAATAATAATATAAAAAAATAAAATAAAAATGTAAAAAAAAATGTTTAAAAATTATAATTTTTGCTTATAAACTAATTTGGATTTTTTTTTTTACTAAAAAGATAACGGAATAAATTTTTGGCTAAGATTTGATGAAATATTATTTATTTGCAAAATTTTATAAAAAAAACACTTTTTTTCAAATTTTGTGGACATTTCATTTACATAGCAAAAAAAATACAAATCCCAGTGGTGAATAAATACCACCAAAATAAAGCTTTATCTATCTCAAAAAAATGGTAAAAAAAATTCATTTGGGTACAGTGTTGCATGACCGCGCAATTGTCATTCAAAGTGTGATAGCGCTAAAAAGCTGAAAATTGCCCTGGTCAGGAAGGGGGTAAAAGTGTCCGGTCTGGAAGTGGTTAAGGAGAACGAAACAGAGGAAGTATCGATAGCTACAGTCTGGGAAAGTCACAAGGTATTCATAAGAGGAATCTTGATTGCGGCAGGAGCAAGGAAGAAAAAGGAAAGAAGAGAGAGGGTCAGTGGGCTCTTAAAAGAAATATTGGACTTGGAGCAGATCCATAAGAAGAAAATAACAAAAGATACGAGACAGAAGTTAATGGATAAAAAAGAGGAGCTAGAGAGGTTGATGGATGAGGAGAAGAGAAGAGTATACAACAGGGTTTTGAACGAGAGATATAGATGGGGAGACAGACCAGGAAGATATCTAATGAGAGCTTTGAATAAAAAGAAAAATAGGAACTAAAATATAAAAAGTTCAAAGGGGGGAGTTGGTCCACTCAAACAAAGAGATTATTAAAGTGTTTACGGAGTATTACAAAAAGTTATATAATATTAGCC